TTTTGTTTTTAATTCTCCCTCGTATCCTCATAAATAGAGGGAAATGAATGTTGCAAAATAATTTTTTTTTAATTTTTGGTTTTTTTTACTATTTAATTTTTATAACTTTTTAAAATTATATTAGTATTTTAATTTTAAAAAGATCACATTTAATTTATTATTCAAGTATTATTTTTTTTATTATTTTTAAAAAATTATATTAAAATATAATTTTAAAGACATTGTATATAATTTATATTTTTTTAAAAAAAAAATTAAAAGATATTTTTCATGAATTCTTACTTTTTTATCTGATTAATCATTTATTCATCTTCGATCCATTCAGTAAGTTGTATTATATATATATATATCTTTCAACTGAATTTTTTATTTTACCAAATCGAATTAATTTTCATTCTCTATTTAATTTTTTTTCTCTGCAATTTCATTTTCTATTCTCAACTCTCGTTTATCTTTATCTGCAATTTCATTCTTTGTATCAAACACCCTTAATAAATGTATTATTTGCAAGCTAACTCACGGCAATGTGGAATCTACCGGGGGATGGCAAGTTAAGCATACTAACCCACAAGACTTTTTAAAGATATTAAAAATTATTAATATTATATTCCATCCGTCCCATAACTATAGTCTTAATTAAGTTAGATACGGAATTTAAAGAATATTGATATTATATTGGTAATTGGTAAAAAGTATGGATAAAAGACTTTTTTTTTTTTGCCCTTGTGAGTGTATTAATATAAAAAGTAGTGGCATTTGTATAATAAAAATGAAAAAGTAGGGATAGTTTACGGTGATATGATTATTTATAGAAATAAAGACTATTATTTTTGGACGGACAAAAATAGTAAACATGGCTATTGTATTGGGACGGAGAATAATAATTTTATAAATATTACTCCCCATCCCGCCGAAAATTTAGAAGAAGTATAATTAGTAAATAATTAAATTTATATTAGTGAAAATAATTATTTTATAATAAAAATAATTATAGATCAAAATAAAGATAATTAATTAGTATGATTAAAAAATATAACTTAAAAGTTTTAAAATAATATTGAAGTGTATAATTTTATAAAAATAAAAAATAAAAAAATAAGTGAGACGAATAAAAATAACAAGATGGACATGATAAGTGAGAGATAAAGAGTATTAGAATTTTAAATTAGAAGGCTGAAGATATCTTTCGGTGATAATGGCTTCGCCGGAAATTTGTGCATACTTATTATTTTTAAAACTCTCCTAAAATACAATTAGTCGAAGAGAAAATAGAAAGATAATTTAAAATTATTTAAAAATGAGTTCACTCCAAATTTTATTATATACATTTTTTTTAAAACAAAAAAAAAATCATATCATTTAAATTATTATTATTCCCAATTCTCAAATTCCTGTCTAGACACAGCCTAAACAATTATCTTAATAAATCTTAAATTAAGTCAACAATTAGTGGGTTAATGACTTGTAAAGATAATTAGATTTTTAAAAAAATAAAATAAAAATAAAAAGTGCAAAAATATGGCCCAAAAAAAGATATTTCAACCAAGACAAACGAAAGTAGTAAACAATTTATATGAATCCAAAATTGGGAATTTATTTAAGAAATTCCTAAGCAAAGGCCCGCAAAAACATGCATCTATTTTCCTCAAACAATACCAAAAATCCTATATTACATATAGGATTGATGTAGATAGTGGTGGAGGGATTTTTTTTATTTTTTATTTTTTATTTATAAAAAATATTTTGAGAATTAATTTGAATCCTCAATATTGAAGATGACTAATATAATTATTACTAAATAATTTATTAAAGTGATGTATATTATTGGTGTCTAAGTTGGTTTGTTGTTGGGGATATTAGTTGAAGAGACGTGTACTTCATTGTTTTCTTGTTTGCATATATATATATATATATATATATTTTTTTTTTAATTTAAATTTTGGTTTCTAAAATGAAAATTCAGATAACTTTTGATTTTGGAAAAAGCATGTCACACTTTATTAAGCATATGCCTATTTTCAATTTTGGCATGCATTTTTGTACAGATTATTATTATTATTATTATTATTATTATTATTTGGGATTTTTTTACTTTAAAAAAAAAAAAAAAAAAAAAAACTTCATAGCGTTTGAGTTAACTTTTGTGTAAAGAAAAAACAACACATAGAACTTAAAATAGAAATAGTATTAAAATTAAAATGATTATTTTATCCATAATAATAATCCCTAAAAAAATCATTCGAAAACCTTATAATCTATATATTATTTTTTATGTACTTAAAAGAAAAAATTGATTCATTTGTATATTAACTTGAATAAGTTAATACAATCATTTTTATCGATATATTTTGTTATGCTGATAAATATTAATTAGTGTAATATGTAAAGAGTAAACTTATATTTATCAATTTATAAACTTTGATGGAGTATATCTATCATTTAATTAAAAATAGTATACATTTCTAATTATATTAAATAGTTTAAAATTTTATATATATATTTTTTTATAAAATTTTAAAATAAATTATATATAGGGAAAAATATATTTACTTTTAAAGTTAATTTAAACTGTCCATAATATGTCGCACTTTTATAACTCCTCTTATTTCGTTTTTGTTTATATAATGTTAATTAGTTTTGCTTTGATAAATTTGTTTTGAATTTCTCTAACTAAGGTAAAATGGGGTGTTAGTCAATTAAGTTTATTGCTTATGAGGTTGTGCACGTCGAACATGAAATCGTTCGCCCTTTTAAATTATAATCTAACTCGATCACTTGTCTTTTTTAAAAATAAATGTGCGAGCACCCAAAAACATTTTAAAAACTCAAACTTCAATTAAGCTTGGTGGCCCAAGAGTGATTAAGGGTACGGTACATTCAAATATTTTCCACTGAGTAAACTATCAATTGAATCTAATACACTGCAAATTGAGTCCGACAAGACAAATTATATTAGACGAACCATGTGTGGCAAGTAGATTTGGAACCAGCTGAGTTTGAGTCCATGATCTCACAGTCACAAATTTACTCCCCACACCACCAGGTCATCTCTTACAAGTCTATACAGTGCTTTTTAAAACGAGCCTAAACTGGTTAATAGTCAAATTTATTATCAGCTAGTCTTTTTTGCTCTGCCTCTTAACATCCAAGGTGGCTTATATATCTCTTACAAGTTTTGACATCTAGCGAGAAACTTGAGTACCTAGGTAAGCAATGTATATACCTTTTCGGTGAGTTGTTCTTCTCAAGACTTCGACTTTTTTACTATATGTCAACCCTTCATCCTCACTAAGTCGCTCACTTCTTGTTGATTAATGAGCTTTTGAGAAGAAGCAAATTGACGAACCCCTCCGACTTACTTCAACACTATCCAAGACGTAGATTTTGTTTAAGATACTCCAAATTCCAACCATCTTTCTACATATTTATATTTCGATTTTTTTTCTCTCTTTATCTTTTGAAGTATAGATATTTTACATTTGTCACGCTGTGCTTTATAGTATATTTGGACTGTAATTTCCTGTTTGATTGAGAATAAGATTTATAAGTCATAAATCGATTTTTTTCTTCTTTTTTTTTTTTTTTCTTTGTATTTGATCTCATATGTATTGAGATTAGATCCATAAGTCATAGATTGAAATTTTTTGAATAGTTCAAGGATTTGAATAGTTCATAGATATATATATATATATATATATTGCAATTCTTCATTTTCTTCTATAGTAAAGTTTTTTATTCTTTTTCGTAGTTTTTCACATCTTAACTTTACCGCACACTTCGATTTATGTTATTTCTTACATTCATGTATATATTATATACACATACTTGTTCAACTTTTTATTTTTTAAATTTGCATTGCTTTTGACAAATCCAAACTAATCCGCATTCAAATGTTTATATAGTTATGAACATCCAATTTTGCCTTGAATTGGAAACTAAGTGTTACATATGCATATCACATATCGACAATCACATTTAAATATTTATTTAATTTGATAAAATTAAATACTAAATTAATTTTTAATATACTAAAAATAATGAAATATAGTATCTTATTTGATGTTTGGGGAAGAAAATTTTCTATGAATGTTAAAATTTTTGTAAGAAACTCCAAGTAATGGGTTCTTTCAAAATAAGAACCCTCCATAGGTAAAATAAATAAAAACAAAAAATTGCTACAACAGATGTAGCACCCCATATCTCCTTCATGTGGCCTTGGAAATGCATTATCAATCCAAAACTGATTTGAACTTTCAAAATGCATAATCGATCCAAAACTGACTTTTTTTTTTCCATGAAATAGTAGTCTCTTCGTAAAAAAAGAAAAAAAGCCAAAGGTAGTATATGTCGGTATGAATATGTGGTGACAATAATTAGCATTTTGTGTTTGTACAAATGTGTCATCTACCCAAATGACTTGTTAACAATGGCGAAATCCATCAATGCAAGGTTTTAACATACCCAAAATGCATACTTGATTATTGTCTTGTAAGTCAAATAAGAGAAATCCATAATGTGTCATTCGACCACGGTGCCTAGGTTCGATTGATGAAGTGCCTAAAAATATTTGGGCTATCTTGAGACTGAGAGATTGTAGTCCTAATGAAGTCTCTGAGTACCTAGATCTGATCCTAAATGGTAAGTTGGATAAGGCTGAGTAAGAATTCGAAAAAGATTTTACTAGAGATTTTTGTTGGTAAACGAATTTGTTTTGGAGCAAATCATCGAAATAAGTCAGAGGAATTTGTTGTAAAGGTTCAAGTTCAAGAGGAACGGGCTAAAATATGGTACCCGTTTCCTTAACTATCTTTTCATGATATCCTTCATCTTAGCCCTAATCAAAATCTTACTCCAAATTACAAAGGCCTATACAAATGCAATTACTATTCAAATTATTAACTTTGAATTACTTGGACCATGAGTAAATAAATCACCTAAGTTACTGTAGATATGAACTGTCCATGAGGTAAAGTATAAAAGAAAATGTAAAAGTAAGAACATTAAAGATAAGGGGATTATGACATAAGTATACTTCAGGAACAAGCTATAGTATCAGTTGATCAACAGATTCCAATTCCATACACCAAATTAAACCTTTGCAAAACAGAAATTGTACACTTACAGTGTATTAAATAGATGCTGTTCCTCTTATTTGTTGCCTTTGTCGATTTAATCTGGCCTCCCTGAGAATATGCCACTCGAGGATTTTAATTCACTGCCCATTAGTGTCGAGTCCTGCAGTAACACATCCCGGGAAGAAGAGATTATACATTGATCTAACCATCAAAAAGCTGTGTAGAGGTCAATCAATGCGGAATTTGAGCATACATACAAATTATAACAGCAATGGCACAAAAGATACTCAAATACATATATAGAGGGTTCACAAACTCAGAAAGTGTGTTTAGTTTGCGTCTATGTTTGTGTTTTGCATTTAAATAGTGGTTGGAAAAAACAATTAGTGTATTTTAATAAAGAATTTGGTGAATTGTACTATAAAGTAACTCCGGAAAAAAATTATATATATATAATTCAAAGATAGAGATGACAATTGGTCGAATATAGATGGACCCGAGACCTTAGCCATATGTATATTGCTGGACCCAAGACCCTGCCCAGACCCTAATGTACTCGGATCTACCCGTCAGACCCGCTAAATTCAAAAACTTTCGACACAAACTTAACTCAACCCGATTTATCTAAAAAAAAATATCTATTTATTTCAAAAAATAAATTAAAATATATATATATATGACAAATATAAATCTTTACTCATTCTGCCTTGCCACCACCACCACCAACACTACTACTAATAATAACAGTAATAATAAAATTTATTATTTAATTAATCGGGTCCAAATCCAAGTTCGGATCGGTAGGGTCTACAATTAAACCCTGGATCCGACCAGACCCTTAAAAATTTATTAAAAACCTGACTCATATTTGACCCAACTCAAATAATTGAATCCGACCCCAAATAAATGGGTAGAGTCTGGGTCGGGTCTCGGGGGGTGAACCCCTATCCATTGCCATCCATATTCAAAGATAACAACACCTAAACTAACCAACCAAACATCCAACAAGTGACAAGGACAAGGTGGAAGTATAATGGATAGGATTCCTATTTACAATCTGTTTCCATAAACAGGAACACAATTCGATTCAAATTTGAGATGCTGAACAAAGACAGCACTATGGCTTGTAATACATCAAAATTCACACCTTCATATCAAAAATGGTGAAATACTTTAGATTCACAGAGACAGATAGATAGAACAAATCAAGCCATACCAGAAACTATACAAATCTAAAATAGCTACTACATATCATTAATCAGATTTGTACAGTTTCGAGGGGAAAATGTACAAATCGATCGGCAACTCATACCTCTTCACAACTACGACTCAAAAAATTCACTCTAAGTTGGGAAAAAGGTGAAGAATACCTGGACTGCACTTTATCTGACATTTGCGATCGCAGCGAGCCATCAGCCTGGCTGAACAATAGAAAATAGTAGCAGCAGAAATTAAGAGAAGGAAATTATAGCTATGGAGAATCAGAAATTGAGAATTTATGGGATGGATTTTTACTGTTAGGGTTAACGCAGGCCGTGGAACAGGCGTCGTAACAATCGAAGGCGTCCGGCTTAACTCCGTCCATGTTAGCTGAAATTATCAGAAGAAGCATGGTCAGCACAATCGCAATCTTCTTCTCCATCGCTCCTGAAACTTTGTCTGCTTCTGATTGGACTCAATCGAGTTTGTGAGTCCGACGCCATTATTGAAAGGAAGCACCGACAGCCGTGCGTGGTGGGACAATCGGATAATGGACTAGGGATTCTGTTAAATTATTTATTTAAATTATTAAAGTGAGTGTCGGATGTTTTGAAATGTTAAGATAATTTTAAAAATAAGAAAAATTTCTTAATCTAAACACGGTGTGTTTGTTTGTTGAGAATGTTAGAATTATTTATTTATTTTTTTATTTATTTTTTTATGTGAGTATAAATTCGTGTATGAAATACAAAAATGATAAATATATATAATATATTAATATTTTTTTTTAACAAAACGTGAATAAAGAAAAAGAAAAAAGCAAGAACAAAGCCAAAAATTTAAAAATAATTATCGTGCATATATATATATACACTAGTATAATATCTTTCTATCCTATTTTATTTGTTTATTATTTCTATTTTAATTTGTCTTATTTTATTTGTTTTTTTTTATGAAAAATAATTATACATTTCAATCATAATTAAAATTTTATAATCAATCATTTCTTTAATATTAATTAAATTGATTGTCTTAATTGTAATATATAACTTTTTTTAATATATAACATTTATTATTTTTACTAAAATATTTTTTTAATTAATTACTCTCTCCGTCCCAATATAATAGCGTTGTTTACTTTCTTTCTTTCTTTTTTTTCAGTTCCAAAATAATAATCTTATTTCTATAAATAATCATATCACTATAAAATTACTCTGTTTTTTCTATTACACAATTGTAATTTTACCAACTATCATGTATCCAACTAAATTAATACTATATTTATGAGACGGATGAAGTATTTATTATACATTTTCTTAATATAAAAGATGGAACACGAGGAATAGTAATTGTTTATAGAATTAACAATAATGTTCAACACCTTGTATTTTATTTTACAATATCGTAAAAAATAAAATAGAAAATATATAATATAATTTGCATTAAGAAAAGAAAATCCAATGGTGTGTTCTTTTAATAAAAAATATAAATTTATATTTTTTCAAAAATATTATATCATACATATTAATTATTTTTATATTTTTTACCTCAATTATTTTTATATTTTACTTTAAAAAAATATACATTCAAATTATTACATAAAACGAGGTCGTTACCAAAAACTCAAGAACAAAGAAGAAAGAAATTCGCCAGTACTAATTAACATTAATATTGTCCTGCACAAAATTTCATCACATACGGAGTAATATTTATTTTTATATGTAAATATTGAATATGAAAAATGATTAAAATTAATTTATGAAAAAAAGTAAGGTATAGATGCACATTAATATATTGAAATAAAAATTTAGAATAATTGATGAGATAGAAAAATAAATCTTAGAATTTGGATTCTATATATTTTAAAATTAAAATAGGATTGTAAAAAAGATATATACAATTTTATCTTAAGAATTCATGTATAATAATTGGTTATTAATATTTTTAATTGATATTTTAATACATTAGAGTAAATATGTGATTAAATTAGATAAAAGTCATATTTATATACTTAAAGTGTCTTTACTATATTTAATATGGATGAATAATATTATTATATCAATCATAATTAAATATTTATTTTAAAGTATTGGAACGTGGTACAGTTATTGGACTAATATAATATGCGTCCCATCTTATTTGTTTATTATTTTTATTTTAATTTGTCTTATTTTATTTGTTTTGTTTTTTAAAAAAACAATTATATATTTTAATTACATTTAAAATTTACTAATCAATTATTTTTTAATATTAATTAAATTAATAAATTACTTTTATTTTAATTTATAATTATTTATATTATTATATAATTATTATTAATATATTTTTAAATTATTTATTAATTTTACTTTATTTAAATGATCGTACCTACATGAAAAATAGGATTAATAAAAAAGCAAACTTGATTATATAATCTCAATATTTATACATTGAGATATGTGAGGCTAAAGCCTCATAACTGTATTTAACTTGTCATAGTACAATTTTAACCTGAGTCGTACTAATTGATACTAATATTGCCCTTCACAAAATTTCATCACATATAATATATATATATATATGTAAATATTGAATATGAAAAGTAAATCATAGAATTTGGATTCAATATATTTTAAAATCAAAATATAATTGTAGAAAAATAATACTTCATTAGATTAAAAAATAATAATATTTTATTAATCAATACAAACTGTGAGTTTTTGATATTTTTGTCATTTGATTTTTATGTATAAAGTAATTGTATGTGTAATGATATATTTGTTATTTTAAGTAAAAATTACGAGTATTTTGGTATTAATGTATATTACTTTTTTTAAAATAAAAAATAGATATTTTAAAGTGAGACAAACGAAAATGATATTTCGTGGACAAATTAAATATATTACAACTGCTGGTAACTATATACCTTAGAGCAAACAATGTAATAAACTAGACATCCATTCAAAAACAAAATCAAATCTATAATATCATTCAATCCAACAAAATGCCATTGGCCTTCGGTGATAAAAAATCGTATTTACGTAACTACTAATTCATCTTTTATAAAATAATACGGTGCTTACGAATAAAGAACTAAGGTTTAACATAAAGAAATTAATTCCAATTTTTCGATTAATTTTTATTTCTATATTTAAAAAATATATATATATTCTTCTAATTTTTAATATAATTTTATAATATTAAATAATGTAATAATTTTATAATTACATTTTATTTAATAAATTAAATTTTCTTTTAAAAATAATGACTTAATTAATAAAATCAAATAATATATATTATATTTTTTAAATTTTAAATTAATAAAATATATTCAATTATTAATATAATTTTATAAAATAAAAAATTTATAAATTCTAAAATAAAATATAATAAAAAAATTAATTAAATTACAAAAATAATTTATAAACAAGGATTGAGACAAGAGCAATCAACGAGCTCATTAAGGAAACATAAACGAGAGAAATTTATTAGCAGGAGCAAAATCTGAAGTATGTTTTCTACTATAAAAAAAACTAGTGATTCTCTCTATCTTCTTCTTTTTGGTGTGAGGTAATTTTTTTTTATAGCTTTCTCTCTCTCTTTATTTTTATTTTTTTTTAGATATTTTATATATCTTTTTCATAAATTTTACATATTCATTAGAATAAAAAACATGATACATTTAGAATATTTTGTTGATTTGATAAAGTATTAGAGAAAATTTCATATATGTTTATAACATTTTATATGTGTGATATATTATTTTTTTATTTTATTATTTTTATTAATCTATAGGATAATATTGATAATTTTAAGGTGGGTTTTATAATCGTATTTGTTTTAAAATAATTTTATGTGTTATTTTATGAATCTAATATTAATATTTTATTATTATATTATTATTATTATGTGTTTTTTTAAAAAAAGATGTTCAATATCAATAAAAATATTATTATTTTATTATATTAGAATGAGAATATTATGGACAATTAAGTATAATAGAATATGATTGTGATATTGAATATATGATTTTTATTGGATGTAATAATACATTTTTTAGAAAGCATTATTGGGAAAAAAAGCGAGGACGGTACTCTGATATTTTGAAAATTTCATACAGTTGGACATATGATCAAAATATTAAAAAAGATCGGGGTTCATTACCATCACTGTGGTTAATATCGAAGAGAATTAATGTCAGATTTAAAAGATGAAACAGCGTGAAAAGCGTTGCATAATGGCCAGATTAGGGCCATTGAAATGTCATAAAACACTTACTATACTACTTTCAGAGGGTGAGATTGAACATTCATCAACTAAATTTTTCAAAATTTGCCTTGGGATGAGTTTTCACAATATACATACGATAATCTCAGCTGCAAATAGAATGTATACAAAAAAAAATAATGTTCTTATCCAAAACATTCTTTGATAAAGAAAATACATGCAAATGACTATAAATGATTACTCAGTGTGAGTGACAAAAAAAAATACATATTGACAAAGAACACCCGTACAATTTTTAGGCAGATTGTTGTGAAATGGAGGTGTGACTGCAACTACATTTGAGACGTTAGCAACTTATTACAGTGATGTTTGATCACACGTATATCCTGGGTGATGATGCGTTGTTACAATATAGTAACTTAAATATTAATATGATAACAGAAAAAACGTATGCTTTGAGAGAAAAAAAAAAAAAAAATCTTTAGAACCTATTTAAAATTAACTTTTAATCAAATTACATTAACTCAATTTATAATCAAATATTTCATTCTTTAACAATAAAAACAAACTTCCAACTGCATCCGTAAAAATAAAAAAAAAAAAAAAATTAGATATATAAATTTTGATGAATAAAACACACAAGAAAAAAAAATAAAAAAATATATATATATATATATATACAATACACAAACAAACACAACCTTTTTCTCTCCTTTGACATGCTTAGGAATAAATAAATAAATAACACCAATTTCCATCCCTTATGCAAACATTGATTATATTTTTACATTAATCACACAATATTCAAATACTTGAATTCAACATATTCCCAGCAACTATCATAAATTGTTATTATGAAACTAGAACAAATGTAGGAGACTAACATAAATTGAAATTTAATGTACTTGCAAACCAAATCAAAGCAAAGATCAATGTAAAAAACAAAGAACATGTCCACAGCACAGCAAACTAAACCAAGTTCAATATATCAAGAAAACTTACCCTCTTAAGGATCAAAGTTAGACAGACAGACTCGTCACTTGCGACCGAGGTTGATCTCCCTGTTCCTGAGCTCGAGCAGGATCCGCTCGTTCTCAAGCTTCATCAATTTGTTTTCGATCATCATTCCATGGAGCTTCCTGTCTTGCTTGTAGCAGTATTTTAGCCACTTCATCTTCGCCTTCTCCAATTCGACCATTTCCTCCTGTATCTGCAGCTTCTTCTTCTTCAGCTCCATCGCGCGCAGCAGCATCTGTCGATTCATATCCTCATGGTCTCCCCCAACGCCCCTACGGTTCATCCGAGAGCTTTCAGCATCGGGCGCTCCTCCATCTTTGTCCACCTGCAGTTTCTGCTTCTTCGCCAAGCTCTCCAATTTCCTACTTTCGAAATCAGATTTAGATTGTCCGGTGAGCGCACAAATCACCGACTGTTCAAGAGACTCGTCGGGAGGAAGATGCTCCCGGTTGCAGCTGTGATAAGAACGCATCTCGGGGTAGAAGAGTTGCCTGCAAGACAGAAGCTTCCGGACCTCATCCTTGAGTACTTCAGATACGCGGACAGAATTCAATAGCCTAGGGTCGTTCACGACTTCAGACGTCACACTTCCGAGGATATCGGTGAGCCGTTTGTACTTGCGGTTGATGTCGTTGAATTTATCCTCACACTGCTGAGGGGAGACTTGGTAACCCCTTTCGACCAAGGCAAGGGAAACAGCTTTCCACTTGCCTGTAATCGGGACAACGGGACGTCGTTCGCAGCTGGATAAGGCCTTCACGACGTATGAGACAGCAGTGATTAAAACCCGGACCATATCCTCCGACCATCTTATTCGTTGCCACTGGGATTCTCTGTTCTCATCGATTAATTTTCCTGCACCACTTGTCAACGGGGGGGCTCCCGGAAAGTGGTTTGAGCCGTCATACTGCCCGCCATCGAGCAATTGGACAGGATCTTGATTGAGTTGCTGTGCGGGGTTGATCCCGAAAGAGAAAGAATCCAAACCTTGCTGGGGGTTGAACGGCAGCATTTGTTGTGAAAAGGGACCCGGCGCTTGCTGGTTGACAGGATGCATTGATTCCTGCAACTCTTGCGATTCAATCTCGCAACAATCCAACATTTCATCCAAATCCGGTAAGATTTGGTCCATCATTTTAGCGGACACCTACTTCACAATCTCGGAAGGGAAAACAAAGAAAAACAATAACACAACTTTGCGCCAATCGATTAAATCAAGCAGATTTGCGCGCATCAAGAATGACAGAGCAAAACTCTTCAGAACAGAATGCCATTTCAATTAAATGAACAAAAACTAAGACGTATATATCGAAAACGATACTTGCCATATCTTACAATCACTTATAACATGCCATTTAAAGCATAAACAGAAGACCGCAGAGAGAAAAATTGCAGAACATGGGAAATAAAGAGTGCTTAGAACAAAATGGCTCCCATTCGATTCAATTTAAATCAAAAGCGAACAAAACTGCATTCAATGTAATTTTCTCAAATAATAAAGCAAGGAAACGAAATCAGCGTGCACCAATGCCTAGGAGAATTACATTGTTAAAATCGCCATAGAAGCTTACTGTAGAGATTGAATGATAGGCAAGGAAGTAAGTGTAATTTTATCCCATAACTGGCCAATGGAAAAAGCAGCTACTCGTTTCGATGTGGATGATGTTGGGATTACCACAATTAATTTCTAGAAATAGCTTTCAAAGAGAAAAGCAAATCCCGCACATTAACCCACATATTCGTATAGAAAAAGTTAAAAAAAAAAAAAAAAAAGGGCAGACTAGGCTGGTAATTTTTTAGAAAATTACATGCATAACTTGTGGACCGTTCAAAACCACACTCTTTTTATTAGAACTCCTAGAAGGAAATTATGCCCTCAAAAGTTTACACCTTAACCAGTTTATCTTCAGGTTAAATTACACTTAGGCATAGCAGAATCAATCTAGTTCTCGAATACACAATGGTTGAATGTTATACGTTTACCTCAAGTAATTAGCGGCTAGCCAGAGTCACTGAGTGCCTAAATTTTTGTAAGCTCCGATCATTTGCCTTTTCATGCATATCTATTGAAGTAAAAGCAGCATTCCACTTACCAAAAAATTCGTAGACATACCTTCTCATGAACAGGAAACTGCATTCATCCAAAGCATCACAGGACACCCCGCCTGAAGTTAACCCAAATAGATTTCCAGATTTTTTATTTGATCCATCCATCAACACATTTCCAAGACTGGTTTTCCTCTGCACACTTCCATTAGCTTAACCAATTTCAATGTACTCAAACACATGGCTTCAATTGATCCCTACCCTCCAACGATGCAGCGCAATCATATGCATCATATAACCTGCAGTCTTTAAAAGAAATCCATGCCTGCTGGACACTCGAAAGGTTTCATGATTTCATACTATGCCAACAATATTAATTGCCATATATTAGAAGGATCGCCAATGTCTAGGCAGGTTTAGGAACACTGGAAACTGAAGAATTGCACATACTGAAAAAGAAATATCGAAAAACCGATGCTGGCATGTTTTCCACTGAAACATCAAAACAACTCTGTAACTCCTAATTCTACTACATTTTCAGGTATTAGTATGTACCAAGCAGAGACTCACCCTTAGTAAGTTCATAAAACAATCACAAACAGAAGGGTGATTTTCCATGGCTATTGCTTTGCAGTAACATACAACATACCTTTTGCCCTTGTAATTTGTAACAACAATAAACAGCAACTATTATTTTCCCCCAAAATATATTAAACCCTAGGAGATCCATCGAATACCCAAAGGGCATGCTCACTCGAAGGATTAATTGATATTTGTGGGTGAAATTACACATGATTAATTAATCCTTCTAGTAAGCAAACCCTAACGGGATTGAATGTGTGTCTGCCACACCTACACAGAGAGACAGAGAGAACCTCAAAAACACATCCAAGTCACAAGCCATTGTGCGAGCATCTTGATTCTATGGCGATTTCTTCATCCTGTTGCAATGTATCGAAGCAGTGTAAGACAAAAACATAAAAAATTAAACAAAAAAGCACGAATGCGGATAATTGGAGAAAATGCAACAGATATGGGGTTTCAAAACTGGGTATTACCTCTGGTCATACGCCATAGTATGTGCTGCCAATTCCACAAAGTGGAAATCAAGAATTCCTACAAAAACCATAGACCGGACTTGAATTCTTGGCGAAACCTCACTCAGGTGCATATCGGTTTTCTAAGAAAGAACGAACATATCAAAAATATGGGTGGGTTAGCATGTGGTTTTATTTATTTATTTATTTTTAAATATTCATTAAAAATTCAATATTTCATAAAAATGGAGAATCGAAAAAAAAAAAAAAGAATTGTTCCGTGAATACGCCTTGTATAATTGATTTTTTTATATTTTTTTTCAAAATTTATGTCAATGAAGATATTTGTTTATTTGATTTTGGATTCAACTTAAAATAATTACTACTATTATTTAATTTACATAATTTTAAATAGAAATATAATATTTTATATAAAATCTCATTCAAAGTATGGTTTAATTAAGATTTAAATAAAAATTTTAAATTCAAACCAAAACAAAAACAAACACATGTTTATAGCAATTTGATTTTTTTTTTTTTTTTAAAGTGTTTTAGATCTATATTTTACATAACTACGGGTGTGTTTGTATTTGTTTTATATAAAATTTTCATTATTTGTCACAATTTTTTTTAAAAAAAAAATTATGAGGTATGTACGTTTGGTGTTTGAATTCCAAAATTTACTATATAAATAGTTTTTGAGTTATTTTAGCATCTAAATCCATTTTAGAGATAAAATTTAACACTTATATACGATTGTATGGTGTTTTGTAGCGTAGTTTTGTTACTTCAATTACACAATTTGTAAATACCCTTCGATTTCACAGTTGATACGTCTGGTGTCTGGGCCATATCCATGCTGAGGTCTAGATCAACTGTTCCATGTACGCATTATGCTCGGAATGTACCATATCTTACATGCATAAAGACATATGTCATCATTCAGTCGTTTAAAATAAGTGCTTGTATACATGGGATGGACTTTGGCCAAAAATTTGGAGCAAAAATGTCAATCAATGACAATATTCACCCACTTCAAGTCACAAACGTCTTCGTGTGACGCTACTAAAGTGCAACGACATTGTTTCTTGCACATTCAACCTCTTGCATACCTACATACTTTGTGCTCATCAAGCGCCAGCGAAGTTTTCCGTAGCCCTGCATGTTCCATTTCACCGCGCATCTCTGCACACCATCCGGGACATCCTTGTTGCGGCTTGTGCATTTTTTTCGAAGATTGTCTTTAACGTGATTTCTCCCTCACGAACAAAGCTCAGTCATCTTGGCCCATCAGCAATGTCGAGCATACTCCCCAACCCTATGTGTATTCTTCTCTGGAATCTCCAATTTCGTTGGGATACACTCATCCTTGATGTGCCACGTAACATGCTCCTTCACCTAACAATGCCTATTTGTTCGCTTTCTTTGTCATTTGCGTCAATATTCGCTTTGATACCATATCTGTTTTACATTTATTTGTTTTTTGTTTTGTTTTATATAAAATTTTATCTTTTGCAAAAATACCATACATATATAATTTTATAAAATTTTTAAAATTATTTTAATAAAAATATATATTCTATTATAATTTTATTTAACAATCAAATAATATTTTATTATTTAATATTAAGAGCACATTGTAAGAAGTAATAATAATAATAATAATAATAATAATATTAGAGCACATATTTATTTTTTTACATATATATATATATAGGAATTTCTCCTGCTTCGGTTGGTGACTCTCAAAACCCACTCAATTAAAACTACTTTAATCTCCCTTCACCAGGTGTGAAATTCATCCATGGCCCCCATAACATGCAATCTTCACTCCCCAAAAAATCTATCAGGCGAATCCTCAAATCATACTGCGATTGCCGGTGTCAAGATGACGTGGACGAAGGAGAAGTTTTTTTTCCAATTGATCGATATCCGGTGAGTGGTTGTTATCTATTTTTCTTAACAAGATCAAGCTTTTAAGTGACACAATTATTCAGCATACACACTTCTATTTGGCACCTCCAAATCATCAACGGAAGAAAAATTAAATAATAAACAAAAAAAGAAATCGAACCTTTTAGTTGAGAATTTGTTAGAAAATGAAGATACGCCTTGGAGATTTTACACCTCCGATCGAAACTTTTCAAGATTTTGTAAGATTCAACTTCTAACTAGGTTTGTTCACGATTTTTTTATAATTATTATATATAATTTATATATTTTATTTATTTACAAAAATTAATACAAAAGTATTTTTTTACATTACTATACAATTTTTAAAGATAAAAAAATAAATTCATCCAAATAAATGCACTCAGCCTCCATAGCCGTTTTTATGCAAAAAGAAGGGCAGTGACACAAAAACATATAATTAAATAGAGAACACAAACACACACAAAAAAAATATATATATATATATATATATATAATGATATACATATATATTTTAAAAATAAAAAATAAAAACTCTTTCTTGAATGCTTTGCTTTTGTGGTCTCTCCAGCTGCAACGAAGCCCGGAGATATAGAGATACACTCGCGATCAGACTCATGATCATAAAATTATGACTTTTAACTTTCGATATTTTCAGATTTTGCCTATTACACGTTATTGGACTTGTGTTAGAAACATTTCCTATGCACAATGGCAGGCCCGGATTCTTCATATTCTCCTTTGGTTATCCACATCTGCACCATACATAAAAAAAAAAATATATATATATATATATATATAAAATTTTTAGGTGAGATGATCATTTGTACTCTGCACTTTTAAAATTATACGTACGATATATCGTCTGTATGCATACCTGTTGGAAGGTACTAAGAGAGGCCAAAATCGATCCCCCGATCCAAACGCTGTACTTCCGTTCTGGCGGCGCCACGACCTTAATTTTCATGCTGCTCGGAGCCAGAGCCGCGATCTCCTTCCCCATCCGATCGGCAATGCCAGGGAACATCGTCGATCCGCCGCTCAACACAACATTGCCATACAGATCCTTCCTGATATCAACATCACTCTTCATTATGGAACTGTATGCACATTCATGTATCCCTCCAGACTCCATGCCTATTAGCTCCGGCCGGAACAGAACCTCGGCGCACCGGAACCTTTCTGACCCGACCGTAATGACCTGACCGTCGGGCAGCTCGTAGTTCTTCTCCAAAACAGAGCAGCTCACCGCAGTCTCCATCTCCTGCTCGTAGTCGACTGCAACGTAACCGAGCTTCTCCTTTATATCGCGCACGATTTCGCGCTCGGCTGCGGTTGTGAAATTGTGGCCACTCTCCCTTAAAATGGTGGAGAGATGCTCTGTCAGATCGCGGCCGGCTAAATCCAACCGTCGGATTGCGTGAGGGAGCGCGTAGCCCTCGTAGATTGGCACGGTGTGGGTGACACCGTCGCCGGAATCCAAAACGATCCCCGTCGTGCGGCCACTGGCGTAGAGCGACAGCACGGCCTGGATGTTTACGTACATGGCAGGGACGTTGAAGTTTTCGAACATGATCTGCATCATCTTCTCGCGGTTGGCCTTCGGGTTAAGGGGCGCTTCGGTTAGCAACACGGGGTGATCTTCGGGGGCGACGCGGAGCTCGTTGTAGAGTGTGTGGTGCCAAATCTTCTCCATGTCATCCCAATTTGTGACAATCCCATGTTGGATTGGATATTTGATCACTAGCATGCCTCTCTTCGATTGAGCTTCGTCGCCTGTTGAGATCCTCTTATGATGATCAATATAATGCAATTTTTTGGTTTTCGTAATTTATTTTAACATTACCGATGTAGGCGTCCTTTTGGCCCATCCCGACCATCACGCCGGTGTATTTTGGTACCCCGACTACACTGGGGAAGACTGCCCTTGGAGCATCATCCCCTGCAAATCCTGCCTGTAATTGCAATCGAATTTTGGAATACAGAGTTTGAAGAAGATCAGAGGAATAAAGTGGATAATCAAATGAATAGTGTACTGAAAAGTTATAATTCGTTTCTATGGAGTTCTTAAACATTCTAAAATCGAGATTGATTTTTGTGGTTAGTTTATGGAAGAGCAGACTGTAATGGCTGCTTACTGACTGACCTTAACCATTCCAGTTCCATTGTCGCAGACGATGGGTAGTATGTCATCCATATCAGCCATGATTTACAACCTACAATCAGGATGACAACAGAACACACATATACGAAAACATCAGATGAACAAAGGAAATTAGTCTCCTGTGATTTCAAAGCGTTAGCATTGGTCAGTGGTTTTACAATATGATCTTCATTTCTTCAAAGGAATAATTAGGCGAATACAAACCAAATCAATTTAAACACAAGAAGTGTATTGAATCGGAAACAAGCAAAACGCGAAACTCATTCAAAATCAATGTGAATTTTGGAAAACATTATTGTCAACAGAAGCATCGATCCTTACAGAGCAGGAATATTATAAGCTTATAACTGCTCGTGAAAAAGTGCACAATAAACACGATACAAATTATATACCGCAAACGGAGAAATCTATCATCGCAATTTTTACCAAATTGAAGGAATCAACTCACAGACACCGCCCAAATAAGTCAATTAACAACGTCTAAGCTGGAATCGATCTGTAAAAATAGAAAACGCCATGAAAACTTAAAGAGCTCATGGAAACATACCTATTCGTCGCCTCGATCTATCTCGGGAGCTGTAAATAACTAATAACAGTAGAAAGCAGAAACAGGGAGTTTCACGTCTGCATTATATATATATATATATGTATATATATATTGAGAGAGAGAGAGAGATTGGGGAGCTGCCATTGGTGAATAGGCGAGAAAACGGAAAGCAGAAGTAAATCCATAGAAAATGCACGCTGCCTATTTTGATTAATTAAATACTAAAAAGCATTTGGCGTGAAGTGAAGTGACAAGTACAAGAAAGGGGGCCGGCCAAAATTAAAAGCTTAAACTTTCAGCGAAGGCGCGGCGGTCGTAGTCAGCTCAGCGGCGGCCCCTACCACTACCAGAAGATAGTTCAACAATGCACCGGCCATGCTATTAGTCCGCCGTCCGCCGCCGGCCTTGCATTCTTCATCCGCCCGCAACCTGACGTGGAAACACCAATCTTGTGCTTTCAGTAGAAAGCTATTTTTTTTTTTTTAATTACATCAAAGTTCGCAATCGCTATCCGAAAATGATAATTAAAACTAATAATATTATGTAAACTAACAAGTCAAACCATATGTGACAGATGATAAAGGATAAAAAATTTAAACTTATAACCTCACGTGATCTGAAGGCGGCATTATAAGTCCACCTCACACTACTAAGTAGTTAGTGAACTAGAAAGCGACTTTTAGTCACATAGTTTGCTGTATAAATGCATGTGTAGAAAGGATTTTCTTACTATATAAAATAAATAAATTATTTTTTATTCAATATTTATTCACAACAAATGCTAATAACTTTATTATATATTTTTTATTATTTTAATTACTAATTAGATTTTAAAAAACACTCACAACTATTTTTTTAATTTTTTTTATTTTTCTAATAAAATAATAATTTTTACATTCACTTACTAAATCCAAATAAATTAAATATGACAGGGGAAAGGGGTAACGCTTTATATATTCACGCAAAATATTAATATTCAATAACTATTTTACTTAAAAATTAAAATATAAATACAAAATACACTGAGTCTAATTTATACAAGTATAACATGCACAATTAGTGTCTAATTATCTATACTTCATATTGTTATCATTAGAAAATTATCTTTTGGTCTTCTCCATAAGTAACTTCGTCTCCAAGTCACGAACTCTATTTATGTCGTTTAACTCCAAAAATATAATTGTTACACTATTTTTGTTTAAATTCACAAGTTTATTTTGTATTCCAAAAAGAATATTATTCAATTATTTTATTTTCTATATTGTTTTAAATTACTTTTTATATCTACAATTAATAATATCTTTTAAATTTTTTAAAAAATAATTAATTAATTAATATACAATATTTTAAAAAATTAATTAAAATAAATAACACATCTTCAAAATAGCGTTGGTATACTGGTATTGCACTATAGCATTTCCACCAAATATGGGGTGGATTGGAGCAATTCAGCTCCATTTTGTGCACCAAACTCCATATATCGAGTTCGGTTAGAGTTGCCCTAATAAGATTTAGGCTTTGACAGATGCTCCTAAATTTTGGGTCTAGAAGAAATGCTAATCTCATAAACTTGAAATCCAAATTCAAGATTTCTCAAGTTTAGGCCAAATGTTCATGTGTGTTTTTTTCTTTTATATAAAAAAAAATAATTTGAAAGGATCAGTGGGTGTGTTTATTTTATGAAATAGATTGAAATGGTATTTTATTTTATGAAATACATAAAATTATATAAATAATATAAAATTAATAAATATGTGTGTAATATATATATTTTTTACATCGAAACATACTTTTCATTGCTTTAAATGTCTTTGGTATATTGTCCATCCCGCGGAAATATCTTGTTTGCCTAGGGCCTTTGGATTCTTTCCTACTTTTTGGGTGTGAATTATTGATTACAAATCTCTAGGGTTTGTTTGTCCAGTGTTTCCATTTAAAATTATTTTTTTGATGTAAGTTATATAGATTTGTGTCGACTATATAAAAAATATTAATATTTTATATTAAATTTTAACTTTTGTGAAATGATAAAAAAAATATATTAAAAATCGTTTGAAGAAAAAACTTGAAATAACAAAGCCCATAGCTTTTCTACCTTTATTCAATTAAGAGCATCTGTAATGGCTTAACTATAGAAAGCTTCTAGGTTGAAAAGAAAATTTTTTCGGAAAAATTGTCATACAATGATTCTTTTTCAGACAGAAAAAAATTAAAATACTTAGGAATTGCCCTATACATGCAAAACCATGTACAAGTCTGTGACACTCTACTTTCTCTTTTTTTTTTTTTTTTTATCTCTCTCTATTTATTTATTTTTCTTTTCTCTCTCATGTTTTATCTGTCACATTATTTGGACACATCAGATTTTGAATACTTTCAATGAAAGAACTATTATGATTGCTCTAAGCAGCCTAAATAGAAAATCCAATGGCAATTGGTCTAGATGCTCTTGGTGCCCGATGAACTCTATGAGATAAAGGTATCTCCCTCAATATTGTTCACTTTTAATTTTCTTCTCTTTTATGATTCGTTTGACTTTGATTACTATAAAAGACAATCATATGAAGTAAACATTCTCCGACAATGCTAAGGCCATCTCCAACCGGCCATTTTATTTGACGCCATGGATGATGAAATGGAGTTTGTGCCCTCTAATCGGTTGTCTTTTTTTTTTTACACCATTTATAATGTTTGCTTTAGTATGACACTATTTTTTGTGTTGCATGATAGCAATGTCATTTCATAGCATTGTTCTTTTTTCAAAAAAAATTTAAAAATTACATATTAGTTCCTATTTTAATCATAGATAGACTAATTTGCAATTTTATTTTTTAATTATGTATATTTGTAGTTTTTATTATTTGTTAGTGATTAAAATTTATAATATTTAAATTTATTATAATTTATATAATATTTTAAATAATTAGAATATTTGTAGTAAATTTGAAGTAATTCTTATGCCGAAAATTTATGTATTATGATCACGTATTTGTGACATAATAATATTTTGTATTTGTAAATGAATAAAGATATATAAATTATCTTGTAAACATATATAAAATAAATATTTAAAATAAAATTTAATTGATCAATATAAACAAAATACTTATTAAAAATAATATATTACATAAAATGCAACAACAATATATTATAAAGAAATGCAATAATATTCATTTAATTAAAAGAAATATATTACAACACAACGAACAGTGAATGGAAAATAATAATTACAAATAGAACACATAATACTTTGTACGAAATAAATCACCATACTTCCATCAATGCAACCGAAAAATTGCGAGAACAAACCATCGAATTTGATTGATAATATGTTTCTCTTTTTCTTACAATCTCTTCAGTTGATTATAATATAGTATGCGAAAATATGTCTTGAACAACATTAAGATTTATTGTCAAAAGTCTACGTCACGTTTAAGCATTTCATATTCTAACTTTTGTTTTTAGTCTCATTATACTTGTTAATTTGTTTATATGATTTTTTCAAAGTTCCGATAACTTTTGAGGTGTTGCTTACCATGGTTTTATTTATTTTAATTCATGTTGGATGTGTATTTTCTCGTAGAATTTCAATATCAGCATTCGTAAAATGAACAAGGATCCTCCGGTGTTACTCTCATCATATAAATGAATAGAAAATGAAGACACCGCTGGATAATCACTAGTTGGATGCTTCGACGATGACAAGACATGTGTTGTATTATATTTTTGAGAAATTTTTATAGGGGCAGACACTCGTTGTGATCTTTTAATTTTTCAAATTTTTTTAATTGATACTCACATTTAAAACTCTATTTTATTTTTTATTTTTTGTGAATATTTGTCTAGTATTTTGCAATTGGAAAATTTTTTTACAGTTAAGTGTTACAAATTTGTGAAAATTTTAGAACAATAAAAAGTAAAGAGATACTTAATATCTTAAATTTCGACACGCCACTGCGATGCAAATTCTTGATTTTTTTTTTCACGCATAACAAAAATTGTCTGACATTTTTTTTTTTTTATAATTTATCCATTTGAGTCTGTATTGATCGAAACTATGTACAACTTATTTTTCTTCCTTTTGTGTATTGTAGGTTTGGACACCTCGTTTCCAAAATACTACGGATGATTGATGATGTAATTGCATCTTGAAAAATCAAATAAGCAGATCTTCAAAGTGGAAAAATTCAGCATAAGTTTAGAATATATTTTTTTCAGCATAAGTTTAGAATATATTTTTTTTACTTAAATTTAAACAAATATAGTGTATAGAATATGAAACAAAACTCTTTATTTATAGTCTAACATGATCAATCAACCACATATTACCTAACACGATGGATTCATTGATAGTTGTTTGATCTACCTAACACGACTGATCAAATGAGAGTTATTGGATCCACTTAATATCATGGATTTATTATGTATTTATAAAATAATAATTTATTTTAATTCGCGTGAAAAAATTAAATAAAAAATTTACTAATTGATGAAAAAAATATTATTTATGAATATCAAATCGAATATCAAAATTTTATATTTATATTTGATTCATACTCAAATTCGAATTATAAAATTTTTAATAGAAATATGATACTTTTGAATTCGAATCAAATAAAATTATTTGTTTTATTTACAACTAATTGTGGGTTAAAAAAAACAAAAAAACAAAAAGATAAAATGACAATTAAACAGCCCCTTGATTTTCTGAATTCGTTGGGTTGAATTTCTTACAAAGTGAAGTGACGTGAGGTTGACATCATCAGTTCAATTTCAACACCAGTTCGCAGAAAATTATCCAAGAAATTCCCGAGAACTACAAAGCCCCAAAACTACCGGCGCCGCCAACACCGTAATAAGTAAAGCAAGTAGGAAACGCCGTATTCTGATCTGTACGCTGGAACTGTTGAAGTTGAATCGGTTCGATGTTTACCACCAACCTCTTCGCAGTTCCCAAGTCGTGAAGAACAAACAGGTTCGTATAACCTCGACCGATCCTCTTCTGCTCAACCATTCTATAGTTATTGCTGCATAGGAATCGGTTCTTTGGAAAGCTTCCAAAGATCCAACCATGGTATCACCGTCTTCCCTTTCCCCCTCCAAGAAGCTTCTCTTCACCGACCCAAATCCCAAATCGAAGCCAAACTCCGCTGCTCTGCCACCGACTAGGGTTCAGGGTCAGCCCAATTTGTCCGACTGCCATGGCTGTGGCTACCAGATTAACCACGCCAACCCTAAGGATCGACTCCAGCTACTGGACAGCATCTGGCGTATCGTTCTTCTTTGCCGGGAATGTCGGAAGGCGATTCGATTCGGACACAAATGCCCCTACTGCTTCCGGGAAACGGTGAACTCAGGTAATCTTTTTCACTGCGACAATTGTGCGCGCAAAATCCACGACGATTGTGTTAGGGATTGTGGGAATTGCACGCCTTGGCGTGGTATGGGTGCGCAGCTGGAGGAGCCTAGGGTTTGTGTCGATTGCTGGGTACCTGAATTGCTCAAGAAATCTTTTAGGGTTTTTGCGAGTGACGATAAGATGAAAGGTAAGCTTAAGGCTAAGAAATTGTTAGGGAAGATAAAGAAACCGAAGGTGCAGAAGGTGTGGAATAGAAGGCCCAGGAATGTTGTACCTTTGGGCAACGTTGTCTTGGCTTTGCCGGCTAAGAACTATCAGGACAGAGCTGCTTCCTATGGCGGCAGTCGTGCTCGAAATTTGAACTGTGCTGCAGTTGATGTGAATGCTCGAAAATCTAACAATGTTGTAAAAACTGGAAAATTAGAAAGCTGTGCAGAGGGTTTGAGGGCTGAGAGTTTACATGATGCCAAAGATGGTGTAAGGGCCGAAAATACAGAAAATTCTGCAAAGGGTGTAAGGGTCGAAAATATAGAAACTTCTGCAAAGGGTGTAAGGGTCGAACATACAGAAACTTCTGCAAAGGGTGTAAGGGTCGAAAATATAGAAACTTCTTCAGGAGGTGTAAGGGCTGAAAATTTTAAAATCTCGGCAGAGGATGCAGGGGCTGAAACTATAGATAATGCTAAAAATGATGTAAGGACTAAAAATGTAGAAAGCTCTCGAGAGGGATTGACAGCTGATACCGGAAATAAAGTTGAGGGTGATGCAGAGTTGGAGATTCTGTTGCAAAGAGCAATGAATATTACAAAGAGTGTAGTAGATGTTTCGAATTATGGTGGTTGGAATGGTTTGACGTACAAAAGACATGGCTTGGGAAGAGTTCATGTCGGAGGTCAAAGGGTTGAGGCAGGTGGTAACTTTGCAAATAGCAAAAGAATGGCTCAGCCTAGGGAAAGTGGTCCAATTAGGGATGCAAATGGATTAAATTCAGTATTGTTTCTGTATAATCGGGATGAGAAGAGGAAGCTATGGCAGAAATTTGATGAGGATACTGTGGTAAAAAATTCCGAGTCCAGCAAGTCACCAGAAATGAAGCTAAGTTCACATTCAGACGATTCCAAATCACTGAAGAGCACTGCTGATGTATCAGAGTCTTTGTTGGATAGTATTGCCGATCAAAATAACACATGTAGAAATAGTAATAGATCTGACCAAGAGTTTGAAGGGTACAAATCGACTCGATTCAAGAAGAAGGCCTTCCAGGTGGATGGCCTGGCAAATGTTACTGGAGAATGCATCTCTTGTGACAACATTATGGTTATCCTTAAGTGCGACAATTCCCAACCAGGTGATGAACAGCTTGACACTGGTCTTCTAGCACAGAGTGACGCTCGGGAGCTTTTGCAGAGTAAGAGTTGTGATGAAAAAGTGGATCATTGTCGGGCAGAGATTGATACACATACAAATACTGAAAATCAGGCATCCAGGCTTGCAGAAGGTAGCTCTGAGGCTGGGCGTTCTGGTGAGTGTGGGGAAGAATCGAACTTACAGGCAAGTAACCGGGACACAGAACCCTACTTTTTTAAGTATACTAAGAGGATGAAACGCACCACAGATTCCTACTCTTTTAAGTATTCTAAAAGGTCAAAAGGCTCGACTCCTGAAGCTAATCTACAACCTACTACTTCTGTGAATGGGAATGAAGACTCGGCTCCTGGATTAACTACAAATTCCAAAGCTGAATCCTGGAATGAGTCTGATGTTTCACTTGATTCCTCTATGAACAATGTGCCTGAGTGAAAAAGGTAGAGCTAAAGTGTAAATAATTTCTCCTGTCTCTTTAGTTGATGTTATGCAGTGTCTTGCATGTCTTTGTTGTAAGATGTATCGGCTCATTTTTGTTGGTGATTGCAATCAATTTGGATATAGGAATTTTATCTAAAATTGGTCTTGTGGGTCTTGAAATAGATCGAGACTGTCTTTGGGTCTTTGCTGGTTTTTATTCTTGCAAACCACTTGTTTAATTGAATTCCATGTGATATTATCGAAGAAATTTTCTGTTAAACTTGGAACAAATTGGAAGGGATTTATTTCTTGGCTGCTATTCACAAAGAGAATGTGAAACAAGGCATTGAATTGAACTTTTTATAGCATTATCCTTTTCATGTTGCTAGCTGTTAGATGTTGGTTTGTTGATGAAAACTTAATATGAACTGTATTTCTCCAATTATCCATGGCTGGTTAGGTGTTCCATCAAGTCTCTAGTCAAGATTTTGTTTCTATTAAAATGTAGTTTGATTTCAAGTATCAATTCTTGATTCCCAATATGACCTGACCTAATTGCTGCATTTTAGGTTGGAATGTTGGATCTTGAGAATGATTATACTCCTTTTAACTAGTTTGAAGTAGAATTCTTGTGGCCGTAAAGAAGGGTTTCAGATTTGATACCTGTGAACATGCCTTCTTAAATTATATCCGTTTACTCTGTGAATAACTCCAAGGATTGCCGTCATACCCGTCATGCTGCTCGACAATGTCAGATTCATTTCAGTTGAACTGTTGTTCATCATAGTTGGTTGCATTTCATACCTGTTTTTGGCGAAATCGTTGATATGTGCCAAGTGTAAGGACACTATTCTGATATGTTTTTCTTGTCTCATCCCGATCTTGCAGATGATGTCTTGTCAAACTTTGCTGGAGGGAACTGTTAGGGATGCGACAGAAGATATGTGCCTAGAGAAAAATGAGGCGGCGCCGTGTGCTTCTTGTTTGTTGTATGACTTAGCCAGCCCTGTTAGATTCTTGGCTGACATATCATTTGATCATCTCATGTATGACATTAATAACAGTAAGAGTATAGCATAGCAAAGGCTACATATTAATCTTTGGTTTGAATTGATTTTGAGTCGAAAGTAGGTTTGATCTGTAGATCAAAATTGTTGCGTTGTTGAATTGTAAAGCTGCTCTGTGATGAACAGCCAGTTGAGTATTGCTGAACCACACATTGCTTGTTGCTGAATTTGATATAATAGGTTTTTTTTTTTTTTTTTTTTTTTTTTTTTTTTTTTTTATGTAGAGTAAACCTTTGCTTAATTTTGACCATGCTTAGCATTTTAACAAAAAATTCAAAAGAAAACTATTGAGTAATTTAAAAATGATAAAAATTAAATTTGTAAAAATAATTACTATAGCAAATAATTTTTACATCTTCTTAATTTATAGTTTTCAACATTTTACTTGTTTAGATATATGCATACCGAATCGAAAATTTTCAAAATACTTAATTTCAGTATATCAAAAATTTTAAATAATATATACAGGTTATACAGAAATTTGTTATAAAAAATTCAAAAAATACCTTCTCTATTCAACTAAAGGGTTCCAGACTTCCAGCAAGTAGCGCAATTTAGAGATAGCAAGGAGGAAAGAGAAGAAGAAGGGTAAAAATAAGTGAAAGAACTCGAAGAAAGAAGAAGGAAGGATGAAGAAGAAATAGAACCGAAGTAGGCGAAGAAGTTGAAGAAATAAAAATGAATGATGGAGAAAAAGAAGAATCTAAAAGGGCCAAAAAATTGAAGAAACTAAAAGGAATGATGAAGAAGAAATAGAACCAAAGTAGGCGAAGAAATTGAAGAAATAAGAAGAAATGGAGAAGAACAAGAATTGAAATAGGCCAAAAAATTGAGGAAAGAAGAAGAGAAAAGAATTAGGGGTTTTTTCTGTGGCGGTTTGTATTTGTTGTAAGTGAAGAAGTCGAAGAAAGAAGAAGGAAGGATGAAGAAGAAATAGAACCGAAGGAAGCGAAGAAGTTGAAGAAATAAGAATGAATGATGGAGAAGAAGAAGAATCGAAAGAGGCCAAAAAATTGAAGAAAGAAAAAGGAATGATGAAGAAGAAATAGAACCGAAGGAGGCGAAGAAATTGAAGAAATAAGAAGGAATGACGGAGAAGAACAAGAATTGAAAGAGGCCAAAAAAATTGAGGAAAGAAGAAGAGAAAAGAATTAGGGTTTTTTTTTTCTGTAGCGGTTTGTATTTGTTGTAGGCGAAGAAGTCGAAGAAAGAAGAAGGAAGGATGAAGAAGAAGTGAAAGAGGCGAAAAAGTTAAGAAAAAAGAAGGAATGATGGAAAAGAAGAACTGAAAGAGGCAAAAAAATTGAGGAAAAAAGAAGAGAGAAGAAATAGAGTTTTTATCTGTGGCGGTTTGTATTTGTGGAGTATGTTAAATTTTTTTTTTTAAAAAAACAAACAAATTAAATATTTAATTAATAATTAAAATATTATCAGTAAGATATTTTTTTATTTTTGTTTCTTCTACATATTATTTTTTTTGAAAAAAATTATATATATATTTATTTTATTTTATAATTATTTGTATTATATCAACTAAGTATAATTTAAATTAAATATAATTATATAATAAAAATTTATAAAATTAAAAATATTAATATTAATATTATTTTTATTTTTATTTTATAAAAAATTAATAATATATAATACTAATATATATTTTTGCCCTAATCAATTTTCAATTCATTACACCTCCACAACATCAGCCAACTGTGTTTATTTTGGTTAAGTTTGAAAAAGTTTTATTTAATTAAAATAATACGTGATGAAATATTTTTTTAAAAAATATAAAATTCAAATAATAAAATTTTGAAATATTTAATTGAAAAAGCAAATCTTCTATCTCCTTTTTCTTTCCAAATTCTCTCATTTGTTTATACTATTCTTCATTTTCCTCTTCTTCACTCGCCTCCCGACTCCCACACTACTCTCCATCGCCGTCCCCATTCATCACCAGGTTAATATTTTTTTTTCAAAAAAAAAAAAAATACAAAACGGTCGATTTGAACAGGAGGTTTACGGTTCGGTTCGGAGACAAGAGAAATCGAATCCGAACTAGGGAAAAACCGGTCGGTTTCGGTCGATGACGGTTCGATTTGAACCGGAACCGTGGTTCGAAATCGATTGAGCAAGTCTACCCCTAAACTAAACCCCTAAACCCCCAGGACCAGACCCAAAGCAATTCCAATTTCCAGCTTCAATGGTTACTGAATCTGAATCTCCTCCTCCTTCCTCACGATTATTACCATTAGTTATTTGAGCTTTCGGCGGAGGGCTGTCGTAGCCGCCTCCAACCAATCCTTGTCAAGGAGAAAAGGTAAGTTAAACCTTGTACTATCCTATTACGCAGCTTTGGTTAATTGATTTTACCTTTATATGCGAATTAATTTTGATTGTTGTCTGGTAGTTTGCTTCGTTCGGTTATTTTGTTGTCCAATGGAGTGAGAGTCCTAGTGTCTCCATTATTTTCACAAGACTGATTCATGAATTAGAGAGTCAAGTCTTTTGCCATCGAGAATCAAACTGTTTTTTTGATTAATCGATAAGTTCAATTGGTTCTGAGATAATAACACATCCTTAATTATGAATTTCAATTTAGAATGGATTTCTATCTTCATTTTTATGTTGATTTGTGTAGTTTCATCCTTAATTATCAATTTCAATTCTGCGGGATTTTCATCTCCATTTTTATGTTTATTCGTGTAATTTCATCCTTAATTTAGCATGGATTTCTATCTTCATTTGATTTGTAGTGGAGATTTCACTTTTCGTGTATGGGAAAATATCGAAGCATAGAAGCTGGATCTTTTAAAGATATTGAGGAGAACAGGCTTCTTTCACTAATTTGAAGTGTCTTACAAGGATGGATGAATTGGCCAAGTATAAGACAGTTGCAGTCCATGTGGCTGCTGCTGGAGCATCTGCTGCACTAGGCACTGCTTCCACGTACCCGCTTGATACTCTCAAGACCTTGATACAGGTTCAAAATATGAGAATGATGTCGAACGGGTTTGCCTGCGCAATTATCCCTGCTTTGCGTGCGTGCATGTTTTTTGAATCGATTCTCAGTCTTACACAGGCACATCAATACAGGTTGGCTCCAGCTCTGGGAAAACATTGGCGGTGCCTGATGTACTTTACAGAGTCGGACTTTTGTCAGGATTTCAAGGTACGTTTATGTAACCCAAATTTGAGTATTCAACGACGTTTTTGGTTACTACATGAGGCAGTTATGAGAAAACCAGATGGAAAATGCAGCCCTCTTAATAAACATCAGCTAAACCGAGTCGAGTCAAATAGAAAATGTTATCACATTTAAAGCTCCGGAGTTTGTATGTCCTTATCTCTAGATTTTGTGGGCCTATATGCTCATTTTTAATTCCCGAAATGACTTATAACTTATTAGTGACTTCTTCCACATCAATAATTATGTTTAGTCAATAATAGATCAATGTGGTTATGCATAAAATGTTAACATTGTTGCTTCGTTCTAGAGCTAGTAACATTCTATAGTAAAATAACAATTTTCTATATAAGATTTCCATCAAACACCTATTTTTCATTAGAAAATATCATGTCAAAAATCTATATTTCATTCAAAACATCTTATCTAACACATTTTCCATATAAAACATCATATCTAACATCTACTTTCAATTTAAACTTTTACTATTTTCAAAACACCATCATGCCCCCAAAACACAAACACACCCTTGGTTTCAGCTGTTTGTTAGGATAGTTGAGTCCACAAGAAATTTGTAGTCTTGGATGAAATAATTATGTTAATGTAAAACAAACAACAATCATTATATGGGTTGCACGGTTCTTATTTTCACTGCCTTTTGCAATACTGGCTACTTCTATTCTTATCATAGCATTTTGCTTTTGCTGTTTGGGTATTCATATTTGTAGATCATTTATTGGTCATTTACAGTAGAAACTAGAATCAACTGATTGATGTCCTATTTGCATTTTAGGTTTGTTTCGTGGCATTGAGTGGTCTATTTTAGGAAGAACATTAGGTCTGGGAGCCCGCTTTGGAGTTTATGAAATATTGACAGCATTCTACAAAGGTGATCATTATTGTTCAATTTTTAGGTATTTTTATGAATACTTTTTCTGGACAAATGTGCTGCTTGTACTTGTAAATTGTCATACTTGAAAATTGGTTCATGGTACTGATGTTTTCTGTCCAAAAACTAAAACTGATAGATGCAATTTGTAGAACACATGTTCGATGAACGACGAATTCATGCTGATTTATACCTTTTCAGATGAACATATTTTTATATCTGGATTATAGAATGTATGTAACCTTGTCGGGGCAGGGACTATCCATCGTTCGTGTTCTGTTCTTTTACCTGTATATGACACATGGTTCTTACACTCCTGCTTACTCATCAGATGGCCGTGAAGATGATTATGTGTCTGTATCGGAGGCTCTAATGGCAGGATTTGCTGCTGGGATGACGGAGTCTTTTGTGTCCTCTCCATTTGAACTGCTCAAACTTCGTGCTCAAGTGTCTGCCGTTTCTCATGCCACACCCCCTCCACGCCGTGCTGAGAAGAGTGTTGCCCGTCCTTTAATATCAAGGTTGCTACCCAGATCTTCCATGGACATGACTGCAATGAGCAACTCTCTTGGCATTTTGTCCACATTGACCACTAAACATGCAAATATTTCTGATGCTTTGAAAGAGTATCCATGGCTGATGACGGGCTCAGGGAGACCACCAGCTGTCAGTACTGTTCAAACGCCATCAGAAGTCATTTCTTTGGAAGGATGGACTGCTCTGTGGAGAGGTCTCAGACCAGGAATTGTTAGAGATTCCATTTTTGGTGGTGTATTTTTCTCAAGTTGGCAATTTTTGCACCAAGTTATGCTTTACTGGAAAGCTGCAGGAATGGACCCTATACCCAGGTTTGAACCCGTCATTAACTGACTATCCATACACACCATGGTTCTGTTTTCCCTTGTTTTCTTACTGCAGAATTTGTTTAGGTACGACAAGGATATCGGTCCCTTGTCCCCAATATCTGTCAGTCTTGCTGCCGGTGTTTCAGGTTCATTTGCTGCAGCTGTCTCTCATGGTTTTGACACTGCAAGAAGCCGGTCACAATGTACTGTTCTTCCCAAGGCATGGTTTCTCAGAAATTCTACATTATCGATTGATAAAGATAAACTTCATGGATTTATTTTTAGGAATCAATTAAGACGGCTAACCAGCCTGAAGCCTAGAGATTTAGTCTATTATTATCATTTTCCTCTCATTTGTGAGCCTAATTATACTTGATCTGTTTTCTTTAGTATTTATCAATGGAAAGGAGGCTTCTTAAGTGGAAGAGACCTGGGAAGAGGTTCGAGAGGCTAACAGGGATCCACCCCTCCGACAAAAATTTACTGTTGAATGGCATAGGGTTGCGGATGGCTCGTTGTGGACTTGCGTCGTCCATCATTGTAGGAAGCTACCTTTTTGCTGTCGGTCACTTGCTTCCTGATTGAATCTCCCAAGATTTTGGATCGGCACTTGGTGGCCGCACCGAAGAATTTTTGCATTGTATCAGAAATTTGGAATGCATCAAAAATAATAAGGTAAGTACAACAAAAACTCAGCTCTTCAGGATAACATATTTTCTTACATTTCAAATCCAAGATTTAATCACATTTATTTATTACTCCCTTATTCTTATAGTAGATTCAAATATTTTTGCTGAAAAGTCCCAACTTAGTGTTGGCCTAAAACTACATAATCTCATCCCCATTGTTTATTCCTTAATTGCTACATTATTACATGCAAAAGATAGATCCTATAGTTTATTTCTACTTCCTGCCTATAGTTGGGGCATTGTTATCCATGGGAATCCAGGAATCCATGAATTCTTCTTTGTCTGTATCAGAGAAGGCCTGTCAGCCTCTTTGTAGCTTCCAGAATGTTTTCCCGGCGGCCGAAAGCAGTTACCCTGATGAACTCCTTCCCAGCCGGGCCAAATCCACTCCCCGGGACGGTAATTATGTGTGTTTTCTCAAGAATTTCATTGAACACATCCCATGAATTGGAACCTGGAAAGTGTACCCAGAGATATGGCGCATTTACGCCACCATAGGCCTTCAATCCGAGCAGTTTAAAAGTTTCGAGCAGTATTTTTGCGTTCTCCTGGTAGTAATTGACGAGAGACAGCACGCCCTGGTAAAATTGCAGCCAAGAGTAATCAGCACCGTACTGAAGTTGAAAAACTTCCTGAAGATAAACAAAGAAGTTTGAGGTTTGAAGCTCACCTTGAAGCCCTCGCCCGTCAAGCTAGCAAGCCCACCAGCCTGGGCTATTCTGGAGGCACCATTAAAGCAGGTACATGCAATACGATTGAAGTCGTGAATAACAGGAAACCCGTTCGAATACAACAGCTCCTTGGGGATGACAGTCCAACCAAGACGAACCCCGGTGAATCCAACAAACTTGGAAAATGATGAGACTTCTATAGCAACCTTTGACAGACATAGGAGCAAAGGAAATTGCGATCCATCGAGAGCTTGAGGTAAGTCATTTCAAGGGAATATAGCTATATATATATGTATTACCTTTTTGGCGCCGGGAATTTCATATATGGATCGAGGACTACCATCGGTGATATAGCCTGCATAGGCAGAGTCATATACGATGATAGAGCCATTTCTCTGTGCAAATCGAATAAGCTCGTGTAACTGCTCCCTGGAGGCAGCGTGCCCAGTGGGATTGTTGGGAGAGCACAGGAAAATAATGTCGGTTCTTGCGACTTTTGAGAAGTCTGGGAAGAAATTATTCTGAGGTTCGCATTTCATGTATTCTATATTTTGGTACCTCCCGGAATCCTTTTCGACATCCCCGGTCTGTCCAATTATGACGCTTGAATCTATGTAGGCCTGTCTCAAAGCAAGTGTGGTTGGAGACCATAAAGATACTTGGCTGTAGTGAAACTCGAAATCCGTGAATATTAAAGAGTACCGGAAAAATTGGATCTTGAGTTGCTATGGACATGTTCGATCCAAAGAGCAGCTGCAATGAAACATTAAAAGCTACCTGAGATTGATCGAAAGATCGATGGGGAAAAGTTATACGGGTCGAAGACCTCTTATATCTATACCTGCAGGCGAGAGATATCGCATTGCGCGCCATCAGATACAAACACTTCTGTGTCCTGTATGCCCATGTCTTTGTAAAATGTTTCTGCTATTGCTTTTCTTAGCTCCTGCAACACTAGCAAGAGTTATCACTGGGAAGAAGTGACCTTATTGGACTAATAATAAGACAGCTTTTGTTTTTAGTGATGAGAAAAAGTGCGGATTTTGAAGTTATGAGCTCTAGATTAATTCATCTTTCTCACCATTAGATCATTTCTTACCAACACAATAACTAGATATAAAAGAAATAGTTCTTGGCCAAGGACTCCTTACCGTGCTCCCTTGCTCAGCTCCATAACCCCGATAGCCTTTAAGCGTCGAAAGTCCATACGCATACTGGAACACAGGATGTGATCAATGAACGTCCGATGAAGATTATGTTAAGAACATTACCTTTTCTGAAGTTTCTTTATCTATCAGAATGTGTGTAAAGTAATTGTGTATTTACATCGACATAAACTGGCCAAGTTACGATTCAGAAAAGTTGAACAAAATAAGAGTAGATTTCAGAGTGTAGAGCGAAATTTACATCAGCCATGCTCGAAGCCACGACATCTGGTAGGGGCTGTGTAGTGTCACCGATGCCAAGACTTATAACCTTTGCATTGGGATACTTTTTCATATGCTGGATTTCGCGTTCGGATATCTGCAATATAACAAGATACCGGCTTCAAGATAGGTAACCAAGAAAAGTTATGGCTGATCTTCATCAAGAACATGATTAAAGTTGAATTCTTTATCACAAACCACAAAAGAAGACTGAATTGTCTTCAGCAAGAAACATGAGAATGAGGATTTCATCAAAAAACAACCAACCTCAGGGAACAAATAGTTATTCTGCAGCCTTTCCATGGATGGATTGCGAGCAACTTTTGTTCGATAACTGACAGCTGCATGAGTTACATATCAACTGATCAACAATATTGCACATCGAAAACTTAGACCATATATCTTTCGACAATAGGCAATCACTTACCATTTTCATTGTCCCGCGATGCAATACTGCATCAAAACGGGAAAACAAGATGTATTATTATTTAAGCCCATTAGTAGGTATGATAGAATGCAGAAACACAATCTTTAATCTATTATGTTACCTAGCTCTAGGCTGCAAAACAGTTTTGCAAGGCATGAAACTGAATGACAAAGCCTTGTACATTATTGCTGCTAACTTGTGTCAATATCAATCCTCTCCAACAAAATTTGCAAAGTGGACTATAGAGAATACCGAGGAGGACATTTATACACATGCAAACAATGAAAGGTAGCTTGTGTCACTCTCAGATTACCAACTCATCATGTCATTTCTTGGTCCTCTAGATGCATAAACATTTGAAATTAATAAGGTGTGTTTTATTAATTTATTGTTATTGATATCCTTGTAATTTACATAACAGAGACTAGAGCAAGCATTCCTTATCATACATTATAATTTAATATTATCTCCAGTGAATTTAGTCTAAGTTATGCCTTTCACACTTTCACAATTTTCAACTCATGTTTTCTTCATTAGTTGGTCTCAATAAAGAGAAGATCAAAGACCACCTACCCTTAGTAACATTTGACTAAATACCTCAACCATTTTTTGAAAAATAAAAGAAAAATGAAATGCAACATAATTACAACCTCAGTTCAGACTAATTGTTCAAACCATTTCCTATTCTCTAACCAAAAATCAGACAAAAAGTCCATTTTAGCTTTACACGGCCAAATTTAGCTCACAATAATTGCCAAAAGCATTTCCTATTACCCAGCCTAAACTTAATTTGGAAACAATCAAATTTTACCTTTCCATGAAATTAGATTAAACTAAAAGTATTTAAATAAAACTCCAAATCGAATATGAATGAACCTAGTGGGTCACATCATGTATGGATTAATTAATGTACAAGGGAAGCTGCTACCCTCCTAGCACACCTAACAACGTTACAGAAAACTCTAATTTTTTCTTCTACAATGCCTTTTTCTCAGCCTCAGAAATCATAAATTTATACTACACAACACATATCCATGGACAAAATGCATATTCCATCTTTGAAAAGTCCAAAGCATTTTGTCTGTGTCTTCTATTTCCATACAGATCGATAAGCAAATCTAAATTAAAAGATGATGCTGACTCTTGCAGTGTTCAAAAGATGAGCAGACAACGGAAACTGCCGAATTTTGTTTTTCCACAATTACTTGTAGTTATCAAAATTCATGAGAGACCTACAAAACTCTTGCCATTTTTTCCATGCAATTACTGAAAACAAGAATGCTACCTACCAATCCGAAAGGAGTAAATGTTTTGATTTTTTCCATTCCTTAGTATAAAGATAATCTTGTCCAAGTTCCATCAAACTTCATAGAAAACTCACAAGGTCCGGATTTGCCACTACTGCTTGAGTAATTACATTAGCAATGGCCCTGATGGAAAATTAAATAGGATCTCATATGAATATGATATGCTCTGGTTGATAGATTTAGTAGATACAATGTACACAATTATATGATGTGTCCTGTGGAAAATTCAAAACAAATTGGAAAAAATAAAGGCACCTGATGTGATATACATTCACTGAACTGTTTCCCTAATCTGCATCTATGCCACTCACATATATAAGATGGAAACTCTAATTCATCAAGTATCAACCAAACCAAAAAGACAATCGTGAAGTAATAACAAAAGACTGAGTTTTATGTGTAATTCTCTTCCAACAGCAATGATTCCACTCCTCTTGACATATATCGGGAGATAGCTTGATCATTATCCACAAGATCATAGGCACAAATTGCTAAACCTCATCAAAATGTATGTGTAATTTAATCTCCTATTTCGCAGTCCCTACATTTGCAACAACCATGACCTTACCACTTTATCTATATATGCTCAGTTAGTTAACTGAATGGTTATTTTAGCAACAATCAATGATCCTTAAGGGAGACTAAAAATGTCCCTTACAGCAGAGTTTCTGATCCAAACTTTAATGGAAACTTCAAAACCAAAAAAGGCTATAGAAAAACAAGAGATTACAAAACATAGTCAGCAAAGCATATGCCTAAAGTAGCCCTGGCAAATTCAAGAAAAAGCATCACATCTAAAATCAAGACTGTGTAGTCGTCCCCTTGGACCAAAATCCCAAAAATATTATAAAATAATTTCATCCATCAATTTCTGCAGACTTTTCCTCCCCATTCATTGCTAAACTCCATCCTAACAATTATTTCACAAAAATAAATCCAACCTGCATTTTCTTAAACAAATAAAATCACAACCGCTCAAAAATGATATTTCAACAGGAAGCTTCTTCATATTTGACCTCACGTTTAAATTCATATACAAAGACCATCATCCATCTTTTCGTAGCTCAAAAACAGAAATAAGTAAAAGACATTCACAATTCATACCACCAACTCGCATGCACGCCACAGAGTCAGATGAAATTTGAGACGAAACTCATTCAAGCGCGAAGAATAACCTAAAATTAAATATTTGTTTGAATCGAAGACTATTGATGAATTCGGTAATTTTACCCCATGCCTTTGGCTTTGACTGAGACGTTAATGCACTCGCTCTCGATTCACCGCAATCTGATGAAAGTTTTCCACGAAGTAAACCACTGCACCAATCGACGTGGGGAAGTCCGCAAACTGTAGTGAAAATTGGCAGGTGAGATGATCCAAATTTCCAATGCAAAAAAGCATCGCCATTAGAGCTGAACTTGAGTTTTCGAATTATGATTTTAATCCGCATTAGATTAATTTGATTTTGTATTTCTCGAATTTTCTTTCTTTTTTTTTTTTCAAAACATATTATCAAACATTATTATTATTATTATTATTATTATTATTATTATTATTATTATTATTATTATTATTATAAATTCAAACTAATTTTTTTAATTATATATAATTTTAAAAATTTTAAATATATATTCCAATTTCTTTTAATTACATCTATTAAAATTATCAATATTATTAATCCTAAAAAAAATAATAAGATAATATAATAAATAATAATGTATTATTATTAATTTATTAAATATCATTATCTTAAATACAATGTTAAATACAATGTCTTTATCACTAAGAAGTATATATTAAAGTATTTCTTAAAAAGAAATTTTAAAATTGGGTGTAATTAAATATGAAAAATTATACTATAAAATAACACTCTTTTGATCCTATTACAAATTATTTCTTTTTTTGTTTTTTTTTTGTTTTTGTCGTCCTATTTTAAAATTAATTTAAATTAATTATAAATAAATAAAATAAACTCTTTATTTATTTATATTATATAAAAATTTATTATCAAAATGATATTTATATACTATATTCTTCTCACAAAATTTTTTTTATCTAAATTTAAATTTTTACATTTTTTATAATTGATACTTTGAAATTGAAGACGAACAAAAATAATAAAAAATAATAATTTAATATGAGATGAAATGAGTATAATTTAAGTAAAATTTGATTTAATAATTTTCACTCAAAATAGAAAAATAGTAATTAAAGTGGGATAAACAAAATGGGAGAATAAAGTACGTTTTTTAAAATAATTTGTTTCTTTTACATTTATCTTTTATTTTTAACTATTTGTTTCTACCTTATTTAATAAAAGTATATTTCCTCTATTCGAAAATTTTAGTCAATTTGGACTTGACACACGAATTTAAAAAATAAATATTTTATTGAAAAAAAAAAAGTAAAAAAATAGTTTTAGATATTTTTAAAAAATTTAATTAGAAATTAAAGAGAATGAAAAAATAACATAATAAAGTCAACGACATTATTGTAAATAAGTGTTGCGAGAAAGATAATAATTAAATTCTGACTTTTTAACTTTTTCAAATATAATAATAAGATTAATTTGAGGGACGAACAAAAAAAAAAAAAAGTAAAAATAAATTTGATAGAGTATATATTTTTTTTAAAGAAATATTAATCATATTTATATTAAACAATATTACATCAATTCATTGGTTAAAGAAAAATCAAAACTCCAAATCCAAATTAAAAAAAAAAAAAAAAAAAAAAAAAAAACAATCTTGTTGATTGCATGTACAATAATAATAATAATTTATTTGATTATACTATCACACGATTCTTTTAACAAAAAATACATATACATTTTCTCAAAAATATTAATATATTATATATGTTTATTATTTTATATTTTCTACAAATTTCTCATATTTTACATAAAAAAAAAATACTCATTTAAATTATCTCACAAAATAAACATACTTTGCCACTTAAATAGTGTATTTTTATTTATAATCTATGGGGTCATTATCAATTTATTACACTCACTCTTATCTTATTTATCTCAATATCATCTCGATCATAGTTTATTCTTAGCCTTACTAAACACAATGATAGATCATAGTTTATTCTTAGCCTTACTAAACACAATGATATATTTTATTTTATTTTTTGTTTTATACAAACTTACTTATTTATATAATATTATTATTCTTTTAAATTATTTTTTAAAAAATTAAGACCGTGAAATGGAGGGAGTAATCAATTTTAAAACTCATTCAAACAGATCCTACTTAATACTCCCTCCGTCTCACTTACCATGTCCACGTTGTCGTTTCTGTTCGTCCCACATTCCATATCATTTTTTTTTTGAAATATGATTATAAACTTTAATCTCATTTTATATTTTCTAATTTTTTTAAAAATTTTAATTAAATTATTTTGTTATTTCAATCTTAATCTATAATTATTCATATTATAAAATAATTATTTTTATTAATACATTCTTAATTATTTACTAATTATATTTATCCTAAATTCTCTCGTATTTATAGTAATCAAGACATCCAACATGAGACGGAAAGTACCGAATATATGAAGTTTAGAGTAAAAGTCAAAACAAGTGCAGCAGCCACACGTGTCATGCATGGACTATTTGGGCACGTTCAAATGCAACCTAAGAAACAAACAAGAATTCAATTAAGTTTTTAGAAAAAATATACTCCCTTCGTCCGCTAAAAATATTATCATTTATTTTTTTACATGTAAATTTTTTAATATTAGTATTATATTAGGTGGTAGTGAAAAAAAACTTTATTAGTATTGTGTAATATAAAAATAATAACATTTATGTAGTATATTGTAAGTTGGAATGATATTTATTATATTAAGTGGGGTAGTAAAATTACTAAATTAGAAAATGATAATTTTGTTTTGGAAGGGACGAAAATAAAAATGATAATCTTTCAATGGGACGGGAAGAGTATATATATAATTAATTGTCAGTGATTTTTGTATACATAATCAATTGTTAATATATTTATTGATATGTAAATCCAAAAAGTCTTTTATGTTACCAATAAAATTTGTGTTAAGATATATATACAATTTTATATATTATAATTAAATGGTAATAGCTTTATTTACGAATTTAATAAGATTCTAAATGTGAGGTTCCTTATAATAATTGAAATATAAAAAAAAATGAATTTTATATCCCAATATGAAATTAGATCTAAATACTCTTTGAATAAATTCTTAACTCAAAATTTTAATTTTTTAAAAATTTTTGAGGTGTATTCACTTACTTTATATATATATATATATATATTGATACTTTTGATGTAATATAATTATTGAATACAATATTTTAAATGCATAAGATTGAATAATTGTAAAAAATTAAGAGGGAAAAAAACATAAATGAAACACATCACTAATAAATTTATTTGTAAAAAAAATACCATAAAGGCAAATACTTATCAAATCAATTAGCATTAAAAAATAATTAAAATATTAATATAATTTATTTTTTATATAAGAAATAATTTTTTTATTCTATTTATTTTATAAATAACTATAAAATTAATTATGCATATTCCTATATCCACCAAATTTATAATCTCTAATGTCATTTTGTTTGAGCATAAAGTAAAGTGGGTATATTATAAAAAAAAATTATTAAAAACTTAATAAAAATGGGTGTGATAAATAGAAAAAATAGTAATAAGTTGATTATTACTTCCTCTCTTATTTATTCTATCATTTTTCATTTTAGAAAAAAATGATACATTTTAATCTAATTTTAAAATTTTTAAAATTTTAATTAGGCTAATTATTTATCTTAATTTAATATTATTTTTATTATACGATAATTATTTTTACTAATATATTCTTAATTATTTGGTAATTATATCCTTCTTAAATTTTTGTATATACCGTAGAGGGGTCACCGTAAATTGTACATAATTTAATAGACATAAAATAAAATTTAAAAAAAAAAAAAAAGAAAACTTGATATAACAGATCAGGTGCTGAAATTAAAATTTCAGCAGATTACTTAAAGAGATGAATATATATAATTATATTACTCTCTCCATTCCATAACAAAGTATCCATTTTTTTTATTTTAGTATGTTCCATAACAAAGTATCTATTTCTTTGTTTTTTTTTTAAGTAAATGTACTATCTACCTAACATTACAAATACCCTTACAATTTACAATATATTACACAAATATCATTACATTTATATCACACATACTAATAAAGTTATTTTAGTCGTTTCTACTTAATTTCTACTATATCCCAATATAATACTAATATTTTTAAAACTATATGCAAAAAGCAAATAGATATTTAATTCCGGAACTGAGGGAGTATTAATAAACTAAATTAATATAATTAAATTTTTAAGTGATTAGCACATAATTTTTAATTTCAGCACGTGACCTGATATGATATGATCTGATTTGTTGGTATAATTACGATGTATTTATAGTTATATAAACATACAATCTTTGTAAAATTAGTTTCACTTCAGATATTTTGAACATCGATAATACGGACTTAACATTCATATAAAACAATAAAAAAATTAAAATTATAAGTTGAAAAAATTAATCATAAAGTTAGTATATATTGTATAATAATTATGTAACAAGTTTTAATATAATTATTATATAAAAAAAAATATGACATAATTAAATTATTTATACAAATTAGAACAACTAAAGTAAAATAGATAATTTGTTTTAAAAATTAACTTTTAATTTTTTGAAAACATTTAATATATAATCATTTATCTTAAGTTTTTATTAGCAATTTAATAAATAAGCAAAAAATAATGTAATTCAATAATTAGTATTTATAATCACTGAAATATCAACTATAATTATTCAAATTTATTTTTTTAAATAAAATTAGACATTAACTAAAAAATAAAAATATTATATTAAAAAAAAACAGATCATTTAAAATGTTGAAATTTGACTAAATTTTTTTAAAAATTATTCAAATATATATTAATTGAATATGATATACGCGATAGATAAACTCATAAAAGTTAACAATAAATTTACATATTAAATATAAATCAATCATTTGTCCCCGTATATGATCCATTTTTCTTTTTTGTGACATTTTTTTTATTTTTAGTAAATTTTTCAATTTTAAATACACTTAGACAAATATAAATCAATTTAATTAAATCAAAATAAATATAAAAATAAAATTTGTTGAGAAATATGTAAAAGAAATGAGAATATGGGTTTCAAGAAAAAATTAAAAATATACTTTATAAAATTTAAAAACTGTATATATATCCACTAATAATATAAAAAAAACTGTAAAAATTATATAGATTTTAAATATCCTACTATCATGATAAAAAATTGTAAAAAAAAAATAAAGAAATAAAAAAATCAGAAAAATCCAAAAATGTCATAATGAATAAATTAGAGACTGATCTCAGATACATAATATATAGATAAGACTATATTCATTAAAACTCCTGTTCAACTCTTATTCAATTTTTTATTTTTTTCTAAAAATATCATATTAAATAATTATTTTTTATATTATATTAAAAATTAATTTTACACTCAAAATATCACATCTACTCTTATTTATATTTATATCACATCTAATAACTATTCAAATTCTATTTTTTTTTTTTACTATTCAAAAATCTCAAATCCAAAACTCAAACCACAAAGAAACACACAAGAATTTTTCTCAAATCCAAAACTCAAAGCACAAAGAAACACACAAGAATTTTCTTGACGTGATCTTGCCATGGTTGTGAGAATCGAACCGAACCAAATTATGCAACTTTATCCATTTGAGTGAAGGAGGTGAACCAACACACACACACACGATGTAATAGGATTACAAATACATATATAATTGCACGCACAATGGATGAATCTCATCTCATCTGCAACAAATTAATCAATTGCAGGCAGGCAGAGAATTTCCAAGATGAATTCTTACAGTAGAGTACATTGCAACAGGCAGGGGCAGATTATTACATTAACCCCCTACCCCAAGTATCTTACATTACATACATCAACTGACTCACTACTGCATTTATCTGTCTCTCCCAGAACAATACCCAATTAAACAAGAAGAAGAAGATGAAGATGAAGATGAAGATGAAGAAGAAATACCAACTGCCCAATTTCACCACAATTCCTGCAGTGTACTTCCACCACCACACCTGAAAACAAATCCTATTCAAACAGTATACAACAACAAACATTCCTGCTTCCATCGCATCGCCAAAATTCTCTCCCAACCAAAACCATAACCATATACAAGGACGATCGAGAAACAGATGCAAGAATACAGACAGACAAGGATAGGATAAGATAGGATAGGGAATAACAGCCAGCTTATCTCGGCCCCGACAGTTCATCAGGTCGGATGTTAGAAGTGGAGTCCGCGATTATCCAGTCCGTGGTCGGGTGGCGCACGTTGTTGAACTCCTGCCTGAACATCTCGTCCTTCTGCCACTCCTCCCACCTCTCCGCCAGCCCATCCCCTTCCAGCATCCTCACCACCTCCGACATCTTCGGCCGCTCCATCGGAGAGCTCTGCGTGCACAGCAGCGCCACTTGGATCAGCTGCTCCACCTCCTCGTCGATGTAATTCCCCTGAAGATCTCCGTCCACTAGCGTCTCTAGCTTTTTCTCCTTCAGCAGTCCCTTAACCTAAACGCCACACAATTTAAATTTAACGAAAACCAAAACCCGAAAAGAAACTGACGAAACAAGGAATTTTAATATGAAAAGGTATGTCTCACCCAATCTAATAACATGACGTCGTCGTCATTGGCGAGACGGGCAAGATCGAAGGCTCGTTGCCCGGTGATGAGCTCGAGAAGCATGACACCGTAGCCAAAGACATCGGTTTTCTCGGAGGATTTTCCCGTCGACAGATACTCGGGGGCGATATGGCCGATCGTTCCACGTACAGCTGTTGTAACATGCGTGTCTTTGTAGTCCATGAGTTTTGCGAGCCCGAAGTCGCCGACGACTGCTTCAAAGTCCTCATCCAACAAGATGTTGGCAGCTTTAACGTCGCGGTGTATGATCTTGGGATCGCAGTGATCATGCAGGTACGCGAGCCCCCTTGCGGACCCCAGCGCTATCCGCTTCCTTATCAGCCAATCAAGCGGCGGTTGCGATTCCGGTCGCTCTGGAATAGCGTATCAAGACGCAGATTAGGCAGAAGGAAAGCAACATTGTTCAGAAATGGGAATCGGATCAGGAGTACCTCTTAAGCATGAAGCAACGCTTCCATTGACCATGAAAGGATAGACGAGCAATCTTTCTGTGGGCGTCATGCAGAACCCGCGCAGGCGGAGTAGATTGCGATGAACGGCCATGCTGATCATTTCCACTTCCGTTTGAAACTGCAGCTCCCCGCCTTGAGTGCGCTCTTCTTTCAGTCTTTTAACTGCGACTAGAGAACCATCGGCTAATCGGCCTTTGTACACTTTACCAAACCCACCCCTGCCGAGAATGTTTCTGTTGCTGAAGTTATCTGTCGCGACTTGGAGTTCACGTAGAGAGAACCTTTTGAGCTGCCCCAGATGAACTTCCGGATCCTCCTCAGCTGTAATTTGAAGTATAAGCATTGAATGAAAAAGGACCGTGCAAATTTCACACAGCGATGTTTTAATTTTGTACTCTACTCACCAGGAACGTCAAAGAAATGGTCTTGTGGTTTTCTCCTACGGTACCAGGCAAGAGCGATTGCAGGCGCAGCAAATAGAAGGGCAGCCCCGGCTGCAACACCTCCTGCAATAGCTCCTGTAGCGCTATTGCCAACTGCAATCGTAGCTTATTAGTAAGACTATGTTGTTTAATTGGATAGCAGATTGTTACTGTAAACATCACCAGAGCTGAAATCACAGAAAGTAATGCACAATGAAGCAACAATGGGGGAAGCAAACCTCCAGAATTAGACGGTGTAGTAGGTGAAACTGGAGGGGGCGGAGAAGCAGGAAGAGGTTCCAACTGATTATTTTGAAAACTGGGAAATGGAAGAAAAAAGTAGAAGTCGATAAATCAGAAGAGACAATAATCGAGAGTCCGTATAAGTTAAAAAAAAATTCATGGGAAACCTGATAGGAGTAAAAAGCTGAAAGGATCCATTAACAGGAATCTGCCCTCGCAGCCGATTATTTGAAAGATCACTGCTTGTGTTAGTAAATAAGGAATGGAATATTAGCAAACGAAAGAAATGGAAACTAAAAGGCACAATAGAGAGATTATAATAAGTCCATCGACTTCATACTTACAGAACTTGAAGTGTAGAGATGGTAGTCAGATTCCTGGGAATTTCTCCATCCAAGGTATTATTGTTGAGCCTCCTACGTAATAGAAGAACAATTCAACATGATTCAGTTTTAAATAATGTAGGTGTCGATCGTGCACACACAGTCAAAATCCATTTTGCAGCCCAGTTCTGGAAGCAGGATTTCATACCAAATCAAGAAGATATTTTGGGCCATAAAGATTAAAAGTGGATAAATGGAAAGTTCAGTAGAGAGAAGCAAGTACAAGAATCGTAGCTTCTGAAGCTTGCCCAAGGTGTCGGGGATCGGACCACTTAGGTTGTTCAAATAAAGATCCAAGCTCACCAAGTTTGTCAAATTTCCGAGCTCACTTGGAATTCTTCCAGAAATGTTATTACTGTAAAGTTCCCTGCAGAAACAAAACAAACAGCACATGAAGATAAAGATATTTAAACCGACAACCAGTTTGTAAAACCATCATAAGAAATACAAGGCTTCTATCTATTTTGATCAAAATCAAAATCATTACAAGATTAGTCTAGAGACCGTTGCATATTGCAAAATATTTGCAGAAAGTAAACAAAATTCTTCTAATGTGCTTAACAACCGAAGAATTGCAACAGAACAAAAGCTTTGTATCCGCCAAGCTAATATACTGGTCAAAGGAAGAACCAAGGAACCAATCGCAAACTGAACTTGCGAACTTACAGGTAAATGTCAGATACGTGAGCCCTACAAGACGTAATCGACAATACTGCCTGCCTATTCTGACAATGAAAACACAGTTTGTTCGTGTGCATGTGTGTAAGTGAAATGGAATGATTGCTAATGTTCTCATTGGGTGGAAGAAACGAACAAATCGAGAACCAAAGAAGCAAGGGGTGACGCCATTGATAGATTTCACTTGTTAAGTAGAGTAATATACCCTTTGTGGACATGTTAGTAACGCTCAAATGAACCGAATGGTGAATAGGAAACATAAGAACATGTTCAAGTCATTTCATACCGAGATGAACGAATACAATCTAATTCAATACTAATACAGAAACAATATAAACAACATAATGAAACAAATTTGGAGCCAAACAACCATTGGACTTACAAGTACTGTAAATACTGAAGCTGACCGAGCTGCGGAACTAACTGACCAGTCAAATTTGCATTCCCAAGATCACTGCAACAACCAACAACATTATTATCATCATCGTAACTAATCAGATATGATTCCATTGCAACAAAGCTACATAAAATCAAATGTATGAACAAGCATACACTCGAGTAACGCTATTGTCACTATTGCAAGTCACATGAAACCAGGTGCAGGGATTGACGAGGGTCGGATCCCAACTCTGCAGAACATTGTTGGGATCGGCCAAATTGCTCTTCAGAGCATTCAAAGCATCGCCTGCAGATGAATGAACAATTGGCTTTCAATAAACATAACCTTCAAATAAACTGCACACTAATGATCACCAATCAGGCAATCACCAAACCAACAAGTAACAATCAATCACCTAACATTTATTAGGTTTGGCAGTGATTTTTGGTTCACACAAATCGACAGAAACGCTTAAATTGAGAACTGGACACAACAGATTCATTCAATGGCAATTGGCATCCCCAATTAACTCCAAACCTCTTCATAAAAGTATTTCAACCTCAATTGATTCCGAAACCCTCAAATTCAGAGACGCCATGAATTCTACAGTTATGAATGCTCAATAACATCCACTTCAGGTCAACGCTAAATTAAAGAAAAACATCAGAAACCCAGAAGAATCAATCGGAAACAAGCGAAAAGTGAACAACAAACCTTCGGCGTTAGCAGAAACCCGCAGAAATCTGCCAAACAGGAGAATTAAACAGTACAAAATCGTGGCCATTGACCACCGATCCATGAGAAATTTCGAGCCCCACCCCACCCCGCCCCCTCCCAAATTCTCCAACTAGAACAACCACAGATTATTCATCTGCCCGATTCCAACTCGGTTATTGAAACAAAGTAGCTATCCACCCAACGAATTAGTCAACACAGAAAGGGCAAATTAAAATAGAATTGTAACTTTTTTAGAAAAACAAAAAAAAATGTAACTCGGTAATCAGGAAACCCCAGGGAAGGAGGGGTGGGGTGGGGGGAGGCAATCCAGCGGAAGTGAAGAACCCAGAATTGAAATCAGGAGCAGAAATTAGGTCAGAAAACAATAACACAGAAATTAAAGCGGCAGAAGAAACAAATGAATTGGAGCTGATTTAGGGGAAGCGCAGACAACTGGAAAGGGAGAATTAAGAAGAATATGAAAGAAAAGAGGGGTTTTTGCAGCTGCTGCTTTTTTGTACTCCTACATTTGTTTTACTTTGAAAGTCGTATAGTTGATCAAAAATCTCTCTCAGTAAAATCTGGGTCTTGATGAGGAAGAGGAGCATTCAACGCTCCGTTAAAAAGGATGAATGAGTTGAATCCATTCAAGACAAAACACAGAGGAAAGGAATCGATGCTCAGTCAAAGCTTTTCTCTCTCTCTCTCTCTCTCTCTCTAGATATATATATATATGTGTATGTATATGTAAGATATATAAAAATATATATAAAATTTGGGAGATAGTGCGGTAAGAAATAAAATATGGACAAGTGGAGGGGTTTTCACAATTTAGCTTTTTAACTTATGTAATGATTTAGTTTATTTAACGGTGGGTAATAAGTTCTTTAATACGGATAGTATATGTAATTAATGTCGTATTGCAATAATTAAGTAGTTTCTATTCAAAATAAAACAGGAAACGTATATTTATTATTATTATTACAAATTTCTATATCTAATATGAAATACTTTTATTTTAAAATATAAAATAAATACATTTTTAAAATTTAACACTACACTATCTTTTCTAAAAGAATTATGTCAGATATTAACTATTTTTAATTTTTTTTAATCGTGTGTTTGTTTTGTGAGAATATTGGAAAAAAAATTATGTAAAAATTATGTGAAGTATAAAAATTGCATAGAGAAACACTACACTATCTTTTCTAAAAGAATTATGTCAGATATTAACTATTTTTAATTTTTTTTAATTGTGTGTTTTTGTTTTGTGAGAATATTGGAAAAAAAAATATGAAAAAATTATGTAAAATATAAAAATTGCATAGAGAATATAAAAATAGTAACCATGTATAGTGTATTAATTTCTTTCAAAATGGAATAATAATTTTGCAAATATATGAAAACAAAATAGTACTTTATTTTTTAAAAATAAATATCCATTTAAGCATATTTATTTTGAGTTTTTAATATTTATATATATTTATTTCCTTATAAAAATATTCATGTTTAATACGTCTCAAATTGGATGTCTCGGTCAATGTAGACACGAGAATTAGGATAAATATAATTAATAGATAATTAAGAATATAATATAAATAATTATAAATTAAAATTAAGATAACTAATTAATTTAATTGAAATTAAAAAATTTAAAATAAAATTAAAGTGTGTAATATTTATTAAAAAAAAAAAACTGACATGGGTGTGCAATAGGTAGAAACTACAATGTGGATATGATAGGTTGGACGGGAATAATTATTTTATTTAATAATAATAATAATAATAATAATAATGTAATAATAAAACTAACACTGTACTAAATGTAGATGTGAGCAAAATATCCGAAATCTGAAAATCCAATCCGAACCAAACCGAAATTTAAAATTTGGTTCGAATTTTTCGGATTTTCGGATTGAATCGGATTGAATTTTTAACAAATTTTGAATTTTCGGATCGGATCGAATCGGTATACTTAAAATCCGAACCAATCCGAAATCCGAAATATAATATTTTAATATATATTTTTATTATATATTTAATATTTTATTAGAAAATATTATATTTTAATATAAAAAACTCAAATTTATTAATTATATCTTAACATATTTAATTTTTATATATTATATATATTTAATATTATAAAATAATAATAAAATATAAAAGAATTTAAAATTTTAAAAAATAATAATAAAAATATTTAGAATTTCGGATTTTTCGGTTTGGTTCGGATTTTTAGTTCGGATTACGGATTTTTGGATTTCAGTTATTTCGGTTCGATTCGGATTGATTTTTTCAAAAATTTTGAATTTTCGGATCGATTCGAATTTGACAAAATCCGAACAAAAAAATCTGAATGCTCATCCGAAACTAAATGCCTGTGCACAATGAATCACTCATCGGTTACAGTGAATCCACACATTTAATTAATTAATTAATTTATTTATTTATTTTATTCAATTTTGCTGTGGGTTTCTAATCATGAATCAATGCCAAATAAATACTTGGATATCCAAACAAGTGTATGTTTTTTATTAAATTAATTTCAATCTCAGTTCCGTAGATTAGTACCGAATTGATCAAAATTATTATTATTTTTATTTATTTTATTATCTTTCTCTTATAATTAGATATTCATTTGTTTTTTATACATAATTTTAAAAATATTAATATTATATTTGTGGGATATAATATGAATAAAATAGAAATGACTAAAATAACCTTATTAGTATATGTGATATAAAGATAATGACATTAGTGTAATATATTGTAAGTTGTAAGAGTATTTGTAATGTTAAGTAAATAGTACAATTACTAAAAAAATTATAAATAAATATTTTGTTATGATACGGAGGAAAAAAAATAATAATAAATGAATTCTCGTTTTGCTATGTGATAGAGAAAATAGATTATAATAATAGATCAATCAATTACGTGAAAATAGGTCGGAACGGCGGTCAAAGGGCGGCCGCCAAAACGAGAATAGAATGACATAGAAATCGTGTTTTCAAATGTTCCTAATTCTTCAAAAGATCGCATTTTAACTAACTTTTTTTATTCTCATTACTTAACCAAACATTTAAAATATTAATGAATTGGGACAGAGTATTTATTTTCAATAAAAAATAAAAATAAAAAAAAAAATCTGGGAAGATGTATGGGTGGGGTGGTGGTTAATTAAATTATTATTGCCGAAGAAAATAGAAAGAAGTGAAGGTGATTGAGATTTGAGTGGAGGAAAAATAAATAAATAAATAATTAAAAAGGAAATTGAATTTAAATAAATCCAAGTGATGTTTAGTTGTCTGCCAACGAAGTAACCAAACATGATTATGCACGTGCACCATCATCATCTCTATCCCTATTTTCTTTCATTCACTTTTTCTTATTTTTCCACATCACAATCATCACCACTTCTATTTATGTTATATTTCATGTATATATACAAGGATGATAATTGAGAAATTTAAATTTTTTTTTTTAGAAATTAATTGAAAATAATAAAAAATAGCTATGACATATACGAATATATATGATGCAAGAGAAGTGCCCCTGTTTTCTACCTAATAAATACGTGTAATGTGGTTGGGACATAATACTGACCGAAACCGTTAAATCTGTAAAATAGTACTACCTTCGTCCCACATTTGGTGTTTTGGTCACTGTAGACACGAAAATTTAGGACAAGTATAATTAGTAAATAATTAAAAATGTATTAGTAACCATAATTTATCTATCATATAAATTATTATAAATTAAACTTAAGATAACTAATTAGTTTAATAAAATTTAATAAATTAAATTAAAAAATTTAAAATAAGATTAAGATGAGTTATCATTTTCCAAAAAATTAAAAATGACATGAGATATGAGACGAACAAAAAACAACAACCTGAACATTGAGTAGTAATAATAATAAATAAATAAATAAATAAATAAATAAACTGATAAATTGTCACTCAAAACCTTTTTAATTATTTAAATTGTAGCCATTTCGGATTCTTATGTACTCCATAAAAGAGTGGATTGATATAATTTTATGTTCCACATAAGGTGGTTATTATTTATATTTTTATCATCTCATATACTCTCTCCGTTTCATAACAATTATCTATTTTCTCATTTTAGTCCATCATAACAAAGTATCCATTTTATTTTTTTTAGTAACTATACTATCTACATAACATTATAAATACTCTTACAACTTACAATATATTACACAAATGTCATTATCTTTGTATCATACACAGTAACAAAGTTATTTTAGTAATTTCTACTATATTCTAATATAATACTAATATTTTTAAAATTACTTGCAAAAAGCAAATGAATACTTCTTTTTGGGACAGAGAAGTAATATATTTACTTCTCTGGTTTTGTAACTATATATTTATTTATTTTTTAAATATTAAATTTTAAATATTAATATTATACTAGTATAAATTATATATATATGTTTATTAGTGTTCTATAATAGAAATATAATAATATTTATATAAAATATCATACAAATATAATAATATTTTTAATGTTAAGTATAATGACATAAAAGATAATTAGATACTTTGTTAAGGGACGAATGAAATATTTTTTTTAAAAAAATATAATTATATTATTGAATCATATTTTAATTTTTATTATTTAAATCTTAATTAAATTATTTAATTATCTTAATTTTTATTTATAAATATTTTTATTAAGAAATAATTATTTTTATTAATATTTTTAAATTATTCATTAATTATAATCTTCATAAAATTTTCTTATCTAAGGACATTTTATGTGATAAAGTATCTAATAAGAATTAGTTGCTATTCTTGATCTCCTGCATTTTGTATGTTTTTATATGAAGTTAATTCGGGTGGGGTTGCTTGGGGTTTCGGTTTTTTTAGTTTCAAATATTATTATTCCATTCGTCCATTTTCTAATATCCTATTTGATATTTATACGTATTTTTAAGCAATTAAAGTTTTTGTTATAAAATGACAAATTAGCCCTTAATCTTGCGTATAGAAAATGAATGAGTAAATAAAGTAAGGGTAAAAGAGTAAATTTTGTGTATAAAAATAGAAAGAGGACAATAATTGTTGGACATTCCAAATAGGAAAGTAGGACGTTAGTTTGTGGACGGAGGTAATATAATTTATAATTTATAATTTAAATATTTATTTAATATTTTAAATTTCAATTAAAAGTATTATATTTAATATTTTTGTCTATTTTATTCAAATTTTTAATTTTACTCCCTCCGTCTCATATTTATATATCAATTTGTTTTTTGCACAGAGTATTAGAAATATTAGTACTTCTTTCGTCCCATAATTAGATATGCATTTGCTTTTTGCACGTAGTTTTAGAAATATTAATATTATATTGGAATGTAGTAGGAATAAAGTAGAAATTACTAAAATAACTTTATTAGTACGTGTGATATAAAAGTAATGACAATAATATATTTTAAGTTGTAAAGATATTTGTAATGTTAAGTAGATAGTACATTTACTAAAAAATGAAATAGATACTTTATTATGAGACGGACTAAAATGAAAAAATGGATATTTTGTTATAGGACGGAGAGAGTATTATATTTGGATAAATTATAAATAAAGGTAAAAAGACTAAACTAACCATATTAGTATTATATGATATAAAAGTAATAAC